CCCCCCCCCCCCCCCCCCCGGCTACGGGCCTGCTGCCCTTGATTTGATTTTCGTAAAACAAACATACTGACGCCTTCCCAGTGCCAGTGCTGACACTATGGGACTGTCACTGATCAGACACACAGTGGCAAAATACCGAGATCCAAAGTTAGTTTATTCTTAGCATTCGTCACGTCGCAAATTCACACTTTTAGATAGATCATTCCAATATATGTGGGCAATTTTGCAATAACGAGTGCAAATTTTGCAGTTTTATAATGCTGTCATTTTTGAAGTAGTATACGTTGACACAGTATTTTCAGTTATTAAATAGTATATTAATATTTCGTTCTCTTCTTCAAATGTATTTCCAAACAGTTCCCTGGGTGCAATTTACGAGATGGAGCCGCGACAAAATTTAATTCTCTTTCCAAAAGTTAACTTTAGTAAAATTTACATTTTAATAAAGATGAGCAATCAACCATTTTCAACTGCCGTCGTCTTATTGCAGATTTGTCCACACATAATTTTACAAGCAAACAAAGAACCAGTCGTACAAGCACAGTGCTCTACCTGGACATAAATTAGTGATAATTTTATAACAATCACTTAATCATTTTCGTTTCCATACATCACTCAACTAAAGCACCTTTTTCATCGATATCAATTCTGTTTAAAGGGTACTCCAAAAGTGTTGTTTCCAATTCGAGAATTGATGAAACAAAGAAATATAAAACAAATTACAATGAAAAACATAGTGGGTTGATAGAGTTCTTATGCTTCAACTCAGAAACACACGCATATATAGTATAAAACCAGCAACATACAGGGTTGACGCTTGGACTTGGTTCATATTTTCAGATCAAAGATTCTACGAATAAAAGGTTTGTTACGTGGTGTTCTTTAGCCGATTCACGTTTTGATACAAGATATTTCAATCCAATTAAAATACTACATTTCATAACAAACGTCAACCCTGCAAATTAAGTAGAAGACAAACTTCGACAAGCGAGACAATCTTGACAGGGGTGCGGGTGCTGGCGCACACAAATCTGATGCCTTTGATGGGCGTTACTTCCAGTTACCGCCTAAGCCGTAGTTACGAGTTACTGAAATTAAACGAAGAAATTCACATTAACAGGAAGACGCCTAAGACTTTGGTAAAGTAATATACAAATAACTGTTGTAGAAATCCACTTCAGTTCTTTATACACGACGACATACTAGTCTTAAGGCAAATTAATTAGACTATTAAAGCGTATCCCTTCGTGAAGAATCTCGTGATGTTTTCAATGTGCCCACACATACCATTGTTATAACAATAAATAGAAACCATTAACTTTACAGGATCTAGAAAAACAAAATGATAATTTTGAACTTTGCAAAAGGCGAGGATAGCAAAGACAAGAATCGCCTCACTTACAAAGAAAATATTCAACAGCAGACGGGGATAATTTAACTGCAAGAATTTATTTGTAGGGCGCAGGAACGGAGAAATTGGTTTTATCTCCTGTTCTTAATACTGCAATTTTGCAGGCGTACGGGGGGAGGGGGTTCAGCTTCGAATCCAAGGATGGGGTACTCGTCCGCTGTGCTCCCCGGGACCGAAAATTAATTATGTACACTTTTCTCTAACACAGTAGACATATCTGTGAATATCTAGTAAAAAATCAATCTGTAAATCTGGGAGAGGGTACCCCCACCCACCCCCCACCCAGTTACTGTACATGAAAAACGCGGGTCGTTACCAAAAATGTTCTATGATAAAAGTCGATAATCTTCATATTCCAATAATACATAAACAATTACGTAAACTGGGCGCTGGCAAGTTTAGATCATATTTATAACCCAAAGTATTCCTGCAAATGTTTTAATACAGATTAGAAGATTATAGGGACGAAATGTACTTGAAAACATACACACTGAAGGACGTATATATCGCGGCTAGTTCTATGTTGTCAGTTTACTGTAATAACAGAATATATTTGAAAATTTTAAAACAAATTGCTGTCGTAAAGAATGAAAAGGAATCTATTTAGGAGCTGTGAATGCAGTTACCTGCCCTGTCGTATTTCAGACAGATTTACGTGTTCAGACCTTTGAACAGCTGGAATAATCCCCTCCCTTCTTTATTGTCAAGTGTGCTCCCTCTGGAAAAATAACAGAAAATAATTTCTTAAAACTTCAAGCTCATTTTGGACTTCGAAGCATTCACGCCATTAAAATGTACCCAATGGCCATAATGCCTGAAGTGGGAAATGCACCATTTTGGGAAGGCATCGTCAACACAAAATACGCAAAGTTATCTTATACATCAATACTGTACTTACAACAGACTTCTGCAGCTTTCAGTGCGAAAACCTCGTTCTTCGTGCGGAATTTGTAGCAGTGTGACATATACGGTTCCCTTTTCTCTGTCTTCTACCGACCTTGGTCCTTTCTAAACACCTGTCACCAAAATGCTCACCTGGATTACATAATAATGTGCAGTTGACCACCTTCCGTGTAGAAGCCTCGATTTAAGATTTAGCCTTTTGTTATTGATAGGGGTTGTTGGCTGGTTCGCGGACGTATACCTGTGTGAGAGTAGAGCCTAGTTGTGGACCAAAAATCATTTAAAATAGGTCGTTTTTAAGATCCACCCTGTAAATACTTGTAGCATACGGTGCTAACACTGTAAGTCTATGCAGTCAGTCTAAACCCAAGTGGGATGTAATTGAATATGATTTGATGTACTTCAATACGTTTTATATAACAACGTCACTGACGTACGTAGGCTTTCTAAAAGATGGAATCTTATATTAAAAATTCTAAAAAAAGAGAACGGTTAGCGAAAAGAAACGAACAAATTAGAGGGGATTCATTAACCGTATCTCTTGGGGTAGGGGTATTCTATCGAACTTTTAAAAATTAATTTTATAATGTCTCTAGACCTACATAAATCGATTATCATAAGAGAGACCCATGCGAGGACCTGCCAGCCTGGGATTAATAGAATTCTTTTCGTTTGAGCAGAGGGACGGGAAATGGAATTATTTGCGTATGGGGAAGATGCCGTACATTGCGCTTGTTACTCTATTCGAATGAATTAATGTTAATAATAGCAAATCATTCCACTTTTAAAGACTAAAATCATGTAGCCAGGCACATCCTTCATTTTCAGAGCTCTATTAATGTCGAGTTCAATAAGATAATGGTATTAAGCGAGAACCGTTATGATCGTAATGACATTTATCATAATTGCATCTGATCTGAAAAATGTATGAAATTTTTAATTTTAAATTATTCTTGAAACAGCACACGATAGTAAGAAGTATAAACTGTGCCAGGTAAAAGTAAGAGGTAGAAAGGCTGACAGGGCGGCAGGTTTCGGCTGTTCGGATGGTCTACCGCTAATTCCAGTCGTCGCTTTCCAAAAACAACTTTAAATATAAAAAAATGGCTGTCACACCTAATAAAATTCATGGATTTTGTTACAAATATTAAAAAAATTAATGCACAACTGTATCATTGCAGATGCAAATTGTTTTTAGTAGCTAAACACGCAAAATAAAGAACAAACACTATTATATTCAACACTTCCAGTGGATTTGATGGGTTTTTCAATATGGTGTTGTGAGTGAGCACTTTTGAATTCGGATTCTAATAAAACAAAAACGCTTATTAATCTCCACGGAAGGTAACAATCAATTTCAAAATATCGCATACATTTCCTTATCAAGAATTGTATACAGTTACTCATATCAAGGGTGTGTGTGTCCCCCACGTGCACGATAAAGGGCCATTACGAGACGGGGCATGCTGTTCACCGAGTCTTCACTATGACGTCTTTTTTGTTGGTCGATTCTGTTCTACCTTAAATCAGCCAATCACCGACTGTTATAGTTCAGTGAGAGAAAATTAGTGGGTTTTTTTCCATTTTTTTCCTGGCATTTCTTGTGTGTTGCTAGAGTTAATTTTGGTGTCAACTAGCAGACTAGGGTGTAAACTACTGCCAGTTTTTTTTTTAGGACCAGGCACAGGTGTCGTGCAGTCGTGAGACCTGGCGGAGGGAGCTACTGACTGAGCGGTGCAATGGTTTGTTTACAAACAGAGTGGCGCACATGTTCAAGTAAAGTTGGTAGGAAAGTTTACTTGATGACAGTACGTAGGCCTATATTTTTGTGCCATAAGGAGTTATGTCAGTGTGTCTGCTGTCCATGGGGATGGGAAATGTTTCACCCATTTATTTGGTTCATGCAGTTTTGCAGACATTTCTTAGTATGGCCGTCAATGGGAAATTATTTGGTGGTTTCTATCCTGAATTATACAATGTGCACTTTCCTCCAGCGCAATAATTGCGTCATGAATTAGCCATGGGCACATTTGTGAATATGAAGTGAAAATCAATCTGTGACCCTGGTAGAGGGTAATATTGTTCCACTCTTGGGTCAAAACTCATCTCCACGGTTGTTTTTGCTGGGCGTGGGTTTCAGCTCTCTCAAATTCGTCCCAAAGATGCTCAACCGAGTTAATATCAGGGCTTTTGGCGGGTTGGTCCGTGAGCAGTGTGGGGTGGCATTGTTATGCTGCAAGCGAAAGTTGACCTCGAACATTGCACGTGGAAATGGGATCAAATGATTCCGTAGGATATCCTAGCTGTACGCCATTTTCATTAGACTACCAGTAGAAGGTTCCTTCCTTCTGCAAATACCATGTCATTTTTATATCTCCTGTATCCTAATGTCCCTTCCCATCAATCTTTGTTTCATTGTACTTTGTCACTTCAAATTCTTTTTCTAAATGATTACAGAAATTCACCTCATTTTTTTCCTTTCAGTTGGCTCCAGTTGACCAACATTATCTTTTCACAGTTAGGCAACCTTCGGTCGTTTGATTGGCAAAACAAAATAAAAAACTCATTAGCATTTCTTTAGAGATTGCAATTTACTTGTATATTGTTTGACAAGGGTCAAGTGGTGATCCATCACCGTTTCAATGATCTTATAATGCAGAAACAAATTTCTGAGATTACAATTATTGCTTGCCTATTACAAAGATAAATACACAAAACATTGTTCAAAATATTTTCCTCTAGCCCACAGTGGTTTCTGCCAAATCTCATTAATGACTGTCACGATTATTAAGTAAATATTTGAAACCTAAGTCAATGCAATAAAGTGACAAGGCAGTGAAGCTGTCAAATGGGCATGTGCATAAATGGCAAAACTGACAGAGGAAGTGACATTATCAAAATATTATCTGAGAATAAAAAACAAGCAATTTGAAAGTGATGAAAGTCCACAAAATGTATTTTGTCATTTTTTTGTTTTTATCCGGAATGCTTAACAGTATACATGCAAAAAATTTTTTTAATATTGTGCTACTATCAAACCCTTTGCAATTCTAAGTCACGCATTCAAAATGAAAATATGTGAAAAATTGACAAAAACCTTTACCTTCAGAAAAACATTCCAATCCATCAGGATTTTAAACTGAATCATTCCAGACCTGTATGTTTTTGTAACATTTATGAGGACACTATTCAGTGACGGTGACGCTAGCGGCAATGATTGGTTAGTGTCTAGACACATAGTACTTGTGCAGTCAATAAAAGAAAAATTCTTAAAACATTTTAAAATATAGCAGGCAAGTATATTTTCAAATGTATACTGGTATTTATTGGCAAACAATACACTACCTTTGACATACTGACATTGGACAAACAATGTCTAAATTCATGGGGTGCATTTCTTTTTTTTTTAACACATCTGTTCTTCATTTTATCAAATATGTACAGCAGAGATACACGTGTGCTGGAAACTGATGCAGACTGCTTTATATCCTTATCATATCTAAATGACTACCTTGCTGAAATATTGCATCTGCGCTCAATCTAGAAATTTTGTTTCAGCCAATATACTGGACATTTTCAGCCCATCATTTTTCCTCTATAATAGTACCAAACTTACTGAAACTGATTAAAACTGGCAACTGCTGTATATTCTACATTTGCACATGTTAGACATCACTATACAGATGTCAATTTTCAACTAAAAGGATGCTTCATTATCAGAAGGTATGTCCTACCTTAGGTCCTAAGACAAAAATAAATGATAAAGCTTTGTGTTCTTACACTGAGATTCTTCACTTGGACATGAAATATTATTTAGCACTTTTACGCACCTGATACAATCTTACAAAATAATGAAACTTGCTTCTGAAAGAATGGGTCATTAAAAACATTAACAAATTACGCTCTGTGCACAGAAATAGATTGTATTACATCCATTGTTATAACATCCAAACAGCCAAATATGTAACCATGTAAACGTGTGTTGTTCTTTTAAAAAAAGTGACCAACTATTCGATTACAGAATATTAGTGCAAGGCAACATTTCTACGACTTATTATTGAGATTTAGGTTTGTGCACATGCTGGTGTCTGAGTTCATTACAGTGAGAAACATTACACTAGGCAAAAAAAAAATAATAATAATAATGGAAACAATTCACATCACCTGCCCTTATTGGGAAACCTTGATCCTCTAAACCACAGGAAAAACATGTTTAATTCCCATACCAAATATCTTTGTGTTTGCTATATTTCTATTCATTCCATTTCCATTTTTTCATTGTTTCAAAGTCCATACAACACAGGTCACAGGCAATCACTTCAGTGGTCAATATCATCAATTAATTGCTTGATATATTTGAATCATTTCTCATTCTTAGAAATCCATCTTCTTGTTCACATTCAGGTGTAGCATCATACATATAATTATGCACTGTATATTGTCTATCAAGTTACTTCTGCTTTCATCTTCTTTTAATGCTAAAAGAGTCTCTTCTCATACCTGCAACAATGCAAACAAAAACTCATCAACATTTCTTTAGAAATCTCAATTAACTTGTATATTGTTTGCAGTTCAATCATCTCCACAAATGAAAAATTAATAAATGTCACCAAATGAAATTAGAAAAATAGTTATTTGCAATTCAATATTTACCCAGCAAGGTGGCATACATACAGACATTAAACAAAACATTAAAAGTTACAGATAAAATGGTGCATAGAGTACATAAATGATTTCATTTTATTTAAAAATTTTTAAGAAATGTTTCAGCAATTTTCACATCTTTGATACAGATAAAGTCATTGCAAGCTATCGTGGCTACCTGACAAGGCTGAGAAGATAATAATGATACTAGGAATGCCTCAGAGAAACTTCCCTATTATAAGAGGTTTTATGCTTTCAAGGTTTGAATATGGAAGTATCAGAATCTTCCAGAATAAGAATATGACTGTGGGGAATTTTCAACTGCATACAGAGTGCCTCTAATAGTGTAACCCAGTGTCTGCATACAATATAACCAAATCAAAGTTATCAACTGAACATCACATGAAGCAATCCATAGTGTTTATGGAGATAGATCAAACAGAACTTTGTTAGAGAAGACATTGGATGAGTTTTGTTCATAATACAAACAATACATCTAACATGCAAAATATAAGAAAATAACTTAAAGAATGTAGTTTGGAATTAAAGAGTGAAAAACTGCAAAACTTAACAAAACCTTCTAAAGGTGGGCAGTTATGGGGAAAACAATACATTCTTGCAGAATTGCACCCAATAAACAGCAGTGGACATATTTTGTAGAAACTTTTTAGTCAGCAATAGATCATCTTAGAATTCAAACCAATCAGCTAACACTTCTATAAAATAACATAAAATGTAAAGCTGTAAAGTAAAGGCTCACACAATTGAATCTTAATGCAAAACACTAAGCCTTCTTAAAAATACTGAACATTATTTAGAAATTTAAGCAGCTGTCAAACAAATTTAGCAAGCATACAGGCACTTTAAAGAAATTTCTTAAGAATCATGACAACAGAAGTTATGAAATATATTCAATATAGCAAATTATACAATGCTCGGTAATTGTTTTGCTACCTAAGTAAATCCCCCTCCAATCCAGATACAGATGGTGGTGGTTTGCTAAGGTATCATACAGGTATGGTATTTGTTTTTTATGGCTTGATTCTTAAAAACTGATGAGGACTGTGGAACTGGTGTGATGTCATGACCACCAGGTTAACACCTGTTTCCCTATGATTCCGTAAAAAAGGCTTATTTGATTTTACTAATTTCATAAATTTAACTTTATCCCTGTGAATAATTTAATTTCCTGTAATAATCCATATTTCATGCTGAATATCAAGATCCTAGAACAATAAGTCTTAAAGATCAAGCAAATTCAAATTTGGGAACAAGTGACAGAACAAAGGAGCGCCCAACAGGGTGTCCTCTGATACCAGTGACCTGGGGAGATGAAATAACAGGGTGTCCTCTGCCACCAGTGACCTGGGGAGATGTAATGCGCATTACAACCGAAAGTCACATTAGAAAGAAAAATTACTTCCAATAACAGTAGTTAGACAAAATCAGATTACACTCCAAAATACTACAGCCAACTGCACAGCTCCATTCACTGGATTTAAGAAAACTATTGATAGATTTTATAAGAATTTGACATATTATGATGGAAAAGACAATAAACAACAGGACTGCAATATACAAGAATGGTTAGACAAAGTTCAACAATATTATGCTGACACTGTGCATGGCTGTATATAAAAATGGCATTCATCATAATTTTATGCATGTGCAAAATACAAAGATTCTGCATTGGCCACTGTAGTGATATGCATGCTTTGTGGAAACTTTAAACAAATTTAAGCTTTTGAAAGACCAATCAAACACCCATTCCCTTCTAGTTAACATTCCAAATCGCATGCATACATCATTTTTCAAGGGTAGGAATATAAAGGAAAAAGTCANTCACACACATATATATAGTATAAAACCAGCAACATACAGGGTTGACGCTTGGACTTGGTTCATATTTTCAGATCAAAGATTCTACGAATAAAAGGTTTGTTACGTGGTGTTCTTTAGCCGATTCACGTTTTGATACAAGATATTTCAATCCAATTCAAATACTACATTTCATAACAAACGTCAACCCTGCAAATTAAGTAGAAGACAAACTTCGACAAGCGAGACAATCTTGACAGGGGTGCGGGTGCTGGCGCACACAAATCTGATGCCTTTGATGGGCGTTACTTCCAGTTACCGCCTAAGCCGTAGTTACGAGTTACTGAAATTAAACGAAGAAATTTACATTAACAGGAAGACGCCTAAGACTTTGGTAAAGTGATATACAAATAACTGTTGTAGAAATCCACTTCAGTTCTTTATACACGACGACATACTAGTCTTAAGGCAAATTAATTAGACTATTAAAGCGTATCCCTTCGTGAAGAATCTCGTGATGTTTTCAATGTAACCACACATACCATTGTTAAAACAATAAATAGAAACCGGTCGTACTAAGCAGTGTGCTTTACACTGAAGGAAATTACAAAAATTTACCGGTGCCCAGATTGCGCAAATGTGTTCAGTAAAATTTGACACATGGAAACATTAGGGGGCAGTAAAATTTAATAAATAAATGCATTTGGCAAAACAGCTCTAGTTTACATTCATTTTACAGGATCTAGAAAAACAAAATGATAATTTTGAACTTTGCAAAAGGCGAGGATAGCAAAAACAAAAATCGCCTCACTTACAAAGAAAATATTCAACAGCAGACGGGGATAATTTAACTGCAAGAATTTATATGTAGGGCGCAGGAACGGAGAAACTGGTTTTATCTCCTGTTCTTAATACTGCAATTTTGCAGGCGTAAGGGGAGAGGGGGTTCAGCTTCGAATCCAAGGATGGGGTACTCGTCCGCTGTGCTCCCCGGGACCGAAAATTAATTATGGACACTTTTCTCTAACACAGTAGACATATCTGTGAATATCTAGTAAAAAATCAATCTGTGACTCTGGTAGAGGGTACCCCCACCTACCCCCACCCAGTTACTGTACATGAAAAACGCGGATCGTTACCATGAATGTTCTATGATAAAAGTCGATAATCTTCATATTCTGATAATACATAAACAATTACGTAAACTGGGCGCTGGCAAGTTCAGATCAAATTTATAACCCAAAGTATTCCTACAAATGTTTTAATACAGATTAGAAGATTATAGGGACGAAATGTACTTGAAAACATACACACTGAAGGACGTATATATCGCGGCTAGTTCTATGTTGTCAGTTTACTGTAATAACAGAATATATTTGAAAATTTTAAAACAAATTGCTGTCGTAAAGAATGAAAAGGAATCTATTTAGGAGCTGTGAATGCAGTTACCTGCCCTGTCGTATTTCAGACAGATTTACGTGTTCAGACCTTTGAACAGCTGGAACAATCCCCTCCCTTCTTTATTGTCAAGTGTGCTCCCTCTGGAAAAATAACAGAAAATAATTTCTTAAAACTTCAAGCTCACTTTGGACTTCGAAGCATTCACGCCATTAAAATGTACCCAATGGCCATAATGCCTGAAGTGGGAAATGCACCATTTTGGGAAGGCGTCGTCAACACAAAATACGCAAAGTTATCTTATACATCAATACTGTACTTACAACAGACTTCTGCAGCTTTCAGTGAGAAAAAACTTCGTTCTTCGTGCGGAATTTGTAGCAGTGTGACATAGACGGTTCCCTTTTCTCTGTCTTCTACCGACCTTGGTCCTTTCTAAACACCTGTCACCAAAATGCTCACCTGGATTACATAATAATGTGCAGTTGACCACCTTCCGTGTAGAAGCCTCGATTTAAGATTTAGCCTTTTGTTATTGATAGGGGTTGTTGGCTGGGTCGCGGACGTACGTTTACCTGTGTGAGAGTAGAGCCTAGTTGTGCACCAAAAATCATTTAAAATAGGTCGTTTTTAAGATCCACCCTGTATATACTTGTAGCATTCGGTGCTAACGCTGTAAGTCTATGCAGTCAGTCTAAACCCAAGTGGGATGTAATTGAATATGATTTGATGTACTTCAATACCTTTTATATAACAACGTCACTGACGTACATAGGCTTTCTAAAAGATGGAGTCTTAAATTAAAAATTCAAAAAAAAAAAAAAAAAAAGAACGGTTAGCGAAAAGAAACGAACAAATTAGAGGGGATTCATTAACCGTATCTCTTGGGGTAGGGGTATTCTATCGAACTTTTAAAAATTAATTTTATAATGTCTCTAGACCTACATAAATCGATTATCATAAGAGGGACCCATGCGAGGACCTGCCAGCCTGGGATTAATAGAATTCTATTCGTTTGAGCAGATGTCGTACATGGGGAAGATGTCGTACATTACGCTTGTTACTCTATTCGAATGAATTAATATTAATAATAGCAGATCATTCCATTTTTAAAGACTAAAATCATGTAGCCAGGCACAATTTCATTTCATTTTTAGAGCTATATTAACGTCGAGTTCAATAAGATAATGGTATTAAGCGCGAACCGTTATGATCGTAATGACATTTATCATAATTGCATCTGATCTGAAAAAGTGTATGAAAATTTTAATTTTAAATTATTCTTCAAACAGCACACGATAGTAAGAATAAATAAACTGTGCCAGGTAAAAGTAAGAGGTAGAAAGGCTGCCAGGTCGGCAGGTTTCGGCTGTTCGGATGGTCTACCGCTAATTCCAGTCGTCGCTTTCCAAAAACAACTTTAAATATAAAAAAATGGCTGTCACACCTAATAAAATTCATGGATTTTGTTACAAATATTAAAAAAAATTAATGCACAACTGTATCATTGCAGATGCAAATTGTTTTCAGTAGCTAAACACGCAAAATAAAGAACAAACAATATTATATTCAACACTTCCAGTGGATTTGATGGGTTTTTCAATATGGTGTTGTGAGTGAGCACTTTTGAATTCGGATTTTAATAAAACAAAAACGCTTATTATTCTCCACGGAAGGTAACAATCAATTTCAAAATATCGCATACATTTCCTTATCAAGAATTGTATACAGTTACTCATATCAAGGGTGTGTGTGTCCCCCACGTGCACGATTAAGGGCCATTACGAGACGGGGCATGCTGTTCACGGAGTCTTCACTAGGACGTCTTTGTTGGTCGATTCTGTTCTACCCTAAATCAGCCAATCACCGACTGTTATAGTTCAGTGAGAGAAAATTAGTGGGGGTTTTTTTCCATTTTTTTCCTGGCATTTCTTGTGTGTTGCTAGAGTTAATTTTGGTGTCAACAAGCAGACTAGGGTGTAAACTACTGCCAGTTTTTTTTTTTTCAGGACCAGGCACAGGTGTCGTGCAGGCGTGAGACCTGGCGGAGGGAGCTACTGACTGAGCGGTGCAATGGTTTGTTTACAAACAGAGTGGCGCACATGTTCAAGTAATGTTGGTCGGAAAGTTTACTTGATGACAGTAGGCCTATATTTTTGTGCCATAAGGAGTTATGTCAGTGTGTCTGCTGTCCATGGGGATGGGAAATGTTTCACCCATTTATTTGGTTCATGCAGTTTTGCAGGCATTTCTTAGTATGGCCGTCAATGGGAAATTATTTGGTGGTTTCTATCCTGAATTATACAATGTGCACTTTCCTCCAGCGCTATAATTGCGTCATGAATTAGCCATGGGCACATTTGTGAACATGAAGTGAAAATCAATCCGTGACCCTGGTAGAGGGTAATATTGTTCCACTCTTGGGTCAAAACTCATCTCCACGGTTGTTTTTGCTGGGCGTGGGTTTCAGCTCTCTCAAATCCGTCCCAAAGATGCTCAACCGAGTTAATATCAGGGCTTTTGGCGGGTTGGTCCGTGAACAGTGTGGGGTGACATTGTCATGCTGCAAGCGAAAGTTGACCTCGAACATTGCACGTGGAAATGGGATCAAATGATTCCGTAGGATATCCTAGCTGTACGCCATTTTCATAAGACTACCAGTAGAAGGTTCCTCCCTTCTGCAAATACCATCAGTCATTTTTATATCTCCTGTATCCTAATGTCCCTTCCCATCAATCTTTGTTTCATTGTACTTTGTCACTTCAAATTCTTTTTCTAAATGATTACAGAAATTCACCTCATTTTTTTCCTTTCAGTTGGCTCCAGTTGACCAACATTATCTTTTCACAGTTCAGGCAACCTTCGGTCGTTTGATTGGCATTGACAAAACAAAACCAAATAAAAAAAAACTCATTAGCATTTCTTTAGAGATTGCAATTTACTTGTATATTGTTTGACAAGGGTCAAGTGGTGATCCATCACCGTTTCAATGATCTTATAATGCAGAAAAAAATTTCTGAGATTACAATTATTGCTTGCCTATTACAAAGATAAATACACAAAACATTGTTCAAAATATTTTCCTCTAGCCCACAGTGGTTTCTGCCAAATCTTATTAATGACTGTCATGATTATTAAGTAAATATTTGAAACCTAAGTCAATGCAATAAAGTGACAAGGCAGTGAAGCTGTCAAATGGGCATGTGCATAAATGGCAAAACTGACAGAGGAAGTGACATTATCAAAATATTATCTGAGAATAAAAAACAAGCAATTTGAAAGTGATGAAAGTCCACAAAATGTATTTTTAATTTTTTTGTTTTTATCCGGAATGCTTAACAGTATACATGCAAAAAGTTTTTTAAATATTGTGCTACTATCAAACCCTTTGCAATTCTAAGTCACGCATTCAAAATGAAAATATGTGAAAATTGACAAAAACCTTTACCTTCAGAAAAACATTCCAATCCATCAGGATTTCAAACTGAATCATTCCAGACCTGTACGTTTTTGTTACATTTATGAGGACACTATTCAGTGACTGTGACGCTAGCGGCAATGATTGGTTAGTGTCTAGACACATAGTACTTGTGCAGTCAATAAAAGAAAAATTCTTAAAATATTTTAAAATATAGCAGGCAAGTATATTTTCAAATGTATACTGGTATTTATTGGCAAACAATATACTACCTTTGACATACTGACATTGGACAAACAATGTCTAAATTCATGGGGTGCATTTATTTTTTTAACACATCTGTTCTTCATTTTATCAAATATGTACAGCAGAGATACACGTGTGCTGGAAACTGATGCAGACTGCTTTATATCCTTATCATATCTAAATGACTACCTTGCTGAAATATTGCATCTGCGCTCAATCTAGAAATTTTGTTTCAGCCAATATACTGGACATTTTCAGCCCATCATTTTTCCTCTATAACAGTACCCAACTTACTGAAACTGACTAAAACTGGCAACTGCTGTATATTCTACATTTGCACATGTTAGACATCACTATACAGATATCAATTTTCAACTAAAAGGATGCTTCATTATTAGAAAGTATGTCTTACCTTAGGTCCTAAGACAAAAATAAATGATAAAGCTTTGTGTTCTTACACTGAGATTCTTCACTTGGACATGAAATATTATTTAGCACTTCTGTGCACCTGATACAATCTTACAAAATAATGAAACTTACAGTTCAGAAAGAATGGGTCATTAAAAACATTAACAAATTACGCTCTGTGCACAGAAATAGATTGTATTACATCCATTGATATAACATCCAAACAGCCAAATATGTAACCATGTAAACGTGTGTTATTCTTTTTAAAAAGTGACCAACTATTAGATTGCAGAATATTAGTGCAAGGCAACATTTCTACGACTTATTATTGAGATTTAGGTTTGTGCACATGCTAGTGTCTGAGTTCGTTACAGTGAGAAACATTACATTAGGCAAAAAAAAAATAAAACAATAATGGAAACAATTCACATCACCTGCCCTTATTGGGAAACCTTGATCCTCTAAACCACAGGAAAAACATGTTTAATTCCCATACCAAATATCTTTGTGTTTGCTATATTTCTATTCATTCCATTTTTTCATTGTTTCAAAGTCCATACAACACAGGTCACAGGCAATCACTTCAGTGGTCAATATCATCAATTAATTGCTTGATATATTTGAATCATTTCTCATTCCTAGAAATCCATCTTCTTGTTCACATTCAGGTGTAGGATCATACATATAATTATGCACTGTATATTGTCTATCAAGTTACTTCTGCTTTCATCTTCTTTTAATGCTAAAAGAGTCTCTTCTCATACCTGCAACAATGCAAACAAAAAACTCATTAACATTTCTTTAGAAATCTCAATTAACTTGTATATTGTTTGCAGTTCAATCATCTCCACAAATGAAAAATTAATAAATGTCACCAAATGAAATTAGGAAAAACGTTATTTGCAATTCAATATTAACCCAGCAAGGAATGCCTCAAATAAACTTCCCTATTATAAGAGGTTTTATGCCTTCAAGGTTTGAATATGGAAGTATCAAAATCTTCCAGAATAAGAATATGACTGTGGGGAATTTTCAACTGCATACAGAGTGCCTCTAACAGTGTAACCCAGTGTCTGCATACAATATAACCAAATCAAAGTTATCAACTGAACATCACATGAAGCAATTCATAGTGTTTATGGAGATAGATCAAACAGAACTTTGTTAGAGAAGACATTGGATGAGTTTTGTTCATAATACAAACAATACATCTAACATGCAAAATATAAGAAAATAACTTAAAGAATGTAGTTTGGAATTAAAGAGTGAAAAACTGCAAAACTTAACAAAACCTTCTAAAGGTAGGCAGTTATGGGGAAAACAATACATTCTTGCAGAATTGCACTCAATTAACAGCAGTGGACATATTTTGTAGAAACTTCTTAGTCAGCAATAGATCATCTTAGAATTCAAACCAATCAGCTAACACTTCTATAAAATAACATAAAATGTAAAGCTGTAAAGTAAAGGCTCACACAATTGAATCTTAATGCAAAACACTAAGCCTTTTTAAAAATACTGATCATTATTTAGAAATTTAAGCAGCTGTCAAACAAATTTAGCAAGCATACAGACACTTTAAAGAAGTTTCTTAAGAATCATGACAACAGAAGTTATGAAATATATTCAATATAGCAAATTATACAATGCTCGGTAATTGTTTTACTACCTAAGAAAATCCCCCTACAATCCAGATATAGATGGTGGTGGTTTGCTAAGGTATCATACAGGTATCGTATTTGTTATTTATGGCTTAATTCTTAAAATGTAATGAGGGCTGTGGAACTGGTGTGATGTCATGACCACCAGGTTAACACCTGTTTCCCTGGGATTCCGTTAAAAAAGGCTTATTTGATTTTACTAATTTCATAAATTTAATTTTATCCCTGTGAATAATTTAATCTCCTGTAATAATCCATATTTCATGCTGAATATCAAGATCCTAGAACAATAAGTCTTAAAGATCAAGCAAATTCAAATTTGGGAACAAGTGACAGAACAAAGGAGTGACCAACAGGGTGTCCTCTCCTACCAGTGACCTTGGGAGATGTAATGCGCCTTACAATCGAAAGTCATATTAGAAAGAAAATTACTTCCAATAACAGAAGTTAAACAAAATAAGATTCCACTCCAAAATACTACAGCCAACTGCACAGCTCCATTCACTGGGTTTAAGAAAACCATTAGTTAGATTTTATCAGAATTGGATATATTATGATGGAAAAGACAATAAACAACAGGACTGCAATATACAAGAATGGTCAGACAAAGTTCAACAATATTATGCTGACATTGTGCGTGGCTGTATATAAAAATGGCATTCATCATAATTTTATGCATGTGCAAAATACAAAGATTCTACATTGGCCACTGTAGTGATATGCATGCTTTGTGGAAACTTTAAACAAATTTAAGCTTTTGAAAGACCAATCAAACACCCATTCCCTTCTAGTTAACATTCCAAATCGCATGCATACATCATTTTTAAAACATGTTTTCAAGGGTAGGAATATAAAGGAAAAAGTCAATAAAAAGGAGAGAGAAAAGTCAGCAGTGCAAAGATAGCTACAACCATGAAAGGTGATACATAAAATCAAAGCTGGCTTTGGAAAGCCTTTATAGGTAAATGATATCTTGACAGTTTGTGTATTCTACCACGTCAAAGTAAGAATTTAAGCATCAATCATTTAAAGAAGTTTTATCATAATTTTTCACTTAGAGAATCAGGCACCCACATCAGTTTTTTAACCAAAACTGTGTAAAATATCTATTGGCATTGCAAATCAGAAAGGTCCTTAGGTAGGAATTAATTAATGGCAATGATGGGAGGATTTCACAGAGCCAAAAGTAATACAAGGCACGAAAGCTTCCAAACGTACAGATATAAAGTAGAAAATTAAGAGGACACTGCATCAATTATAGTTTCTGATAATGCTGATCACCGTTTTTCATTATGTACTATTGTTTATGTGGACATTCAGAGGTCCTTACACCTACTGAAAAGTCACAAACTTGAAAAATGCCCAAGAGTGAAAAATGAAAAATTCACATTTACACACACACACACACACTAAAAACACTCCAGGAAGAAAGGGAGTATAGCTGTTTTTTCAAACTTGACCTGTATTTAAGTGATATGAATAACTACTGTATCAGTAAGTTTGAAGATAGTGTGTGTTATCCATATATTGCGATAAAAGCGACAGCAAGAGGGTTACAATGACAGACGCAGGTTAGGCTTTATATACAGACATGCTGAGACTGTACATAAAATGTCAACAACATGAAAGAAGTAACTGTGGCAAGCATCTTGTAATTTGAACATACCCATGGTATGTAATAATAGTAAAACTGCAAAATATTTGGCAGATCGAATCAAGCTGATGCCCAACAAATAATGACAAGCGAACACAGAGACAGTACAGATGTCCTAGGACTTCAGACCAAAGTGTATGCCCTGTTCACAACACTTCATTAAATGCCTAAATGCAGCTATCATAACTACAGTGTTTGGCTGGACAAAGACATCAAAATAAATTGCAGTTTACATTTGTGCATTTGAGAGAAACTAATATAGTAACCAATTAAAAATTAAGAATGGTTATGTATTGGAAAAGTATTTAGATTCAATTCCTTAATGTTACGTGTTAAAACAGACTTCCACTTTAAGGGTCATTCCTTAGGATTTTCCAGCCAAAATGAATTTTACTGGGGTAAGGAGCAATTTTCTGCGGCTCACGAATAATTGGTTGACTCGTCCTTACACTTGGGATCAATGTTTTATTCCATATTAATTGAATACTTTAAATGACTAGATAATTATTATAAACAACATCTGAAGTCATGTGCATTGAGTCATTTTCACACATAACAAGAAAATGGCAGGTTGATTTGTTATGCAGCACTGTACCGTGAATACAGCAATGACTTGATCCTTTCAATGGCCAAAAATTACAGAGTAGCCTGCTTTTTAATTTTTTTTTTTTTGCTACCGCTCGAGAAGTGCTATAATTTTAGGAAATTATGACTTAAAAAATACAGTATTTGTAAAATCCCCCCCCCCCCCTTGAATGGATTGAGTAATTATTGTCATAAAGGCAATGCAAGTTAGTAATGGCTACCTGAGGCTGAAAAGATGACACAAGGGCCACACAAACTTTTATTTAAAGGGTTTTATTGTCATTAGAGTCTGGATTGGGAAACATAAGAAGCTTTACAGGACATACATATGACTGTGGGGGATTTTCAAACATGTGGAGAGAACCTCAAAGTGGCCCTTTATAACTTAAAAGTTTGATGTAACATCACTTTCTTACCATCACTGGTTCTCATTATCTGTATTGTTCAGTAATGTACTGCCAAAAAGTCAACTTTGCATCTGACTCATTTCAATATAAATTTTCAAGAAAAAAATCTTCAGATCTAAAATAATACAGAAATGATACTAATGCACAAATTTTAAAAAGGCTATTAAAATTTAATATGAAAGGCTATTAAAACGCAATATGAAAGATTATTGAGAATTGCATAAATTATACATCAATTAACATGGATGCCACTTAGTTAGGAAAATAATATTTCCTGTCCTTTCACTGACCAAATCCTGTTTTTCACTAAGCAAACTTTTTTTTCAGCCTCCCAACTCCCCTACAGCTGTCCAATCCACCAATTTTTTTTTCACCAAACTAATTTTTTTGATTTACTAGATAACATACATTCAAATATCAAAAGTTAACACATTGTCAGATACTTCTGGAAGACTGCCATAGTCACTAAAAATATAAAAATCTTCCTAGAAGACTGTTCTTAAATTAAATTATTCCTAACCAAAATGCCAATTTCCCTGACAATTCACTGACCTAAAAAATAATTTCTCTGACTTATCAAGTAAGGTGGCAACCGTGAGTTAATTTAGATTTCAAGATGCTTACCCAACATTACAATGAAAAGGTAGGATTAAGAGACAACCAACAAACCCAACTAACCCATCATGAGGCAGGGATTGTTCCATCTTGAAGGTATCTTAATATTGGAAGAAGAAAATATGAGGAACTTCAAAAGCAGGCTTTATCATGATTAATGCACTATTAACAAACCAGATAAATGAACAAGAACAAGAACAAACAACAACAGAAAGTAAAGCATCCTTTGAATTTATAAGATTTAATTTAGACTGTAGGAAGCATCAAATTAATTTTGCGATTTCTTCCTTTCTCACAAATGTCAAACTTTTAGTAAACATTTATTTTCAGTTAATTTATTATGCTACATATTAACAAATAACAAAGTAAAAATAGAGCATGAAAGCAGTGAATAAGCACATGGGGCCTTTTTTTTAACAAAATTTGAACTCTGCAGTGCAAGAAAACAGAAAAACTGACCAGCATAGCAACCATTCATATAACAGGCAAAATATAGCTCTGGCTAACCAGACACTGCAGACAGGGAGCATTTAGGAACAAAACAGTGGAATTATAACAAACTGATATAATTCTTTCAAATTTTCAACGACAGGACGATTAATATCAAGTAAAAGGAAAAAAGAGGTGAATACACTCAAAAAATAAAAATAAAACAGTTATTATATAACTCAAATGAAATTCAGGCAAAAAAGTCAGCTAAAGCTGATGTGAACAGACAACCAATATCATTTTAAACATGAAGACTGTGAAAATAATATAGCATCATAATTATGCACTTAAATTATATGACAACCCTACCCCATATAAATCTAAATGAAATACATAGTAAGACCAAAAGCACTTGTCTTTCAAAGAGCTCGAGTTGGGGGGGGGGGGGGGGGGACGGTAGGTCAAACAAGCTTTTTATCAAAATTTACCTTTATTTCATGATGAGTCAGCCCAGTAAGTTGGGTTTTTTTTCTGGATTGAGGATATTATACGTTATATTTGTACATTGGGAGAAGACAAATTTGAATAGCTTAAAAACAAAATGGTTAGATAAAGGTGATTTTCAAACTTAATGTGCACTTAATGTATTAAATTATAGTGGTTGAATTTGAAGTTGAAGCATAATATTGTCAACAACTTTTAGCACTATAATATGCTGGAAAAAAGGATAACTCTAGAAAAATGGGCAAAAGAAAACACTAATATTTGATCTCAGCCTGAACTTTAATATGAAATGGTAAGTTTGAGGTTAAAGTCACATGATAGTTTTCCATTCACTGTGTTAACAATGCTTACATAGAAAATAACACAATGTCATGCTGAATTATTTCAATACACTCAGGATAACCTTTTCATACTGGTCTCATAAAGTTGATATTTAAACTTGGTCTGTGTTTAAATGCTATGAAATGCACTTGTAGGTTTTAGGACAATAAGTTACACCGTTTCCATTTATTGTGTTAAAAAGGAAACATGGGCTGAAAAAAAATTTAAAGGGTAATTTCAGCAAAAATGGTTCAAAAATGGTCCTATTCCAACTTGATCTGTGTTTTAGTGATACAAATCTCTCCAGTAAATTTGAGGTAAAGTTAAGTGCACAGCAACAACAACAGAGTGATATGATATTTTAGTACTATGATTCACTCAGGTAGTGTTTATCCTTTGGTGTTAAGAAGTAAAAAATCCAGTGCACAGCAACGACAGACACAGGTGATGGCTATATATATCCAGACACATAGTGTCTGTCCATAAAAAAATTCCAAGAAATGATTGGATCATGCCCAGTTACTATGGTGACAAGTAATACACATAGCTCTGGTTTCGGCCCCAGTGAAGTGGACAAACAGCTAATGGCATTCTGGAAAGACACTTCTTTGTCTGTACAGAAAATCAGAATACAAAGAAAGACTGAAATTTTAAATAAATAAATAAATAAATAAGTAAATAAATAAATAAATAATTGGTCTAAGAGGCCAGTGTATATTCAAATAATTTGGACACGGAAACAATGTGAACATGTTAGATTTATGGAAATAACAACTGTTGCTTGTTACACAACAAAGCTGTTAGTTCTTCTTATGGTAGTAGAAGTAAAGTAGTAAAAGTAGTAATAGTAGTAATGGTAGTTATGTGGTAGTATTGGTGGTATTGTGTAACTGGCAACACTGCAAACATATGGGTCAGCACTCCAGCTTTTACTTACGAATACAGCCCGTGTACACCCCCTTCTCTTTGGGAGGCAGGGGTGCGCCTTTCAAACTTAATTTCACCAGAATACAGCTTTGCTCTGAATTGGGATATAAACAGTAAAATGAAAAGAAATGTACAGACACATCAAAGGTTTCTTACACATTCTTTTACTTACGAATGAAGGCCATGAACACCCCCTTCAACTTGTGAAGACACTGTACGCTTTTCTAATTTCAACTCTCCTGAGTACATCATAGATCTAAGCAAACGGAGAATCAATATAGATTAGGATATGAAATAAACCACTGAAATCAAAACTGTATTTATATTAAATAAAAATCAATAATGTATAATGTGGGATGTTTCTCAAAATGACTTGAAGGGATAACAACACTTCATTTTGGTGGGAATAGTGCTACGAAATGAATTTTCTAGGGTAAATTACACTCTTACCAAATGTTAATGAATCTGTTCCAACATTCAAAGTATGCCGATTGTTTTTTTGTTTTTTTTAATTAAAGTGTGTAATAAGTTTTTAAGAGATAATTATGAAGTGTAGCTGTCTGTGGAGATCCACATGGTCTGGTGGCAAGCACAGATTTCAGAATAATTGCAATAACCATTGTCTTGGTGGTAAAATGGAATTAATTATACTTCTATACAATGTTTTCAGGCCTACCCAACTACCAGACTCGGCACCGAATGATCCTGAATTCACCAGTAGATAGGACCACAATACCCATTTTCAAGGTGTGCGTCAGTACGCATTTCGCAGTATCATACCCCGGAACAAATTTTGAGATGAGATGCACTACTTTCTTGCCTCACTGAGAATCACCACTATCTCAGCACAACTAGGCAAGAGTGATGCTGCGTCTGATACTTCGAGGCGTGTACTGATACACACCTAAAAAACGGGTAGTGTGGTCTGATCTACCGGTGGATTCAGGATCATCCAGTGGTAGTTGGGTAGGCCTGGTTTTGGTAAAATGGAATTAATTATACTTCTGTACAATGTTTACAATGTATTTATTGTGGATTTTGAATTTAATATAAAGAGCTGTTATCCTCTCAAGTCATACGTTAAAGACTTCCAAAATTTGTAGCCTGATAAGTGGGGCATTGCCAAGTTTTGAGACTCGCCTCTTGCTTTATTTTTTATGCCTTTTAACTAAGCTCATGTGTCAATTATATCTATTGTGGGAGAATTTTACGTAAAAGACTCTAAGACCACTGGTTCAAAATCATATTACTAGATAAATCTATTCAATTTAAGCAGTCTAAGCTTAGTCCCAAAACTATGACTTCTTATGAAACAGATCCCAGGAGATGAGAGAATAGTTGACTTTGCAAAAATATGTATACAATGTTCAAATTGTCACCAATGCCAATGGACTCAAGCTAGAAAAATAATTAATCACTGATCAGTGAAATAATCAAAATACAAAAAATGTACTGTTTTTCTATAATTGCTTCTTAATACAAATGTTGTTCAGCTTTGAAGCCAATGCAAAGACCATACTGAAGTTCTTATGGATAAAACTGCCCTAGCATTTATGATAAAAGCTCTAAATAGACTAGCTTGACTGATAAAGTGCAAATTCAGAATATACTTGACCGAGGCATTGAACTTAAGCAACTTAATATGCTGGTTTAATGAACTAAACATTTTTAATTTTTTTAATTAAAAGAGGGACATAAATATGAGGAATGAAATAACTGCAAACTGAACATTTGAACCCTCACACAAAAAACTACACATCCTGATTGGATTCTAAAAAAATCAGGAGGAATTTTCTGTTGTTTTACTTCAAAAAGCAGATTATTATTGCAGAAAATGAATTAGAGAACAATTCAAATTTTTCAAACCATACCTGAGATGAGACAGACTTTTAGCACCTATGTCTTGGCAGCCATGCTGGATTCCTGCGACCAAATATGGCATAAATTTATGGACAGTCCCCTTGTCCACTATAGTCCCTGTGACACCTTGAGCAACCTTCAATTTCTCACTTTCACTGAAAAACAATAAACACGTTGATAATGTGGAAGAAAAATAGTTAAGTTTTTTTCCTTTTTTGTCTAAAATAACAGTATATCATCCTTTTTCGAAAACCAGTCTGAGTCTTTCATCTGTCCAGCACTAATATGTGTAATATATCTAATGCATTATCTACTATCTTCACAGTTTTGACTCAAAACAAGTTAAAACTGACACAAGCAGGTAAATGATATTAATATTCATTTTTTCAAAAAAAAAAAAAAAAAAAAAAAAACTTTTTCCAGGACTGTGGTTACAGTGTCCAAATTCTATTGTGTCTGACCTTGTATAATATCTCTGCATGCTTCCCCGGTGTGATTCCATTGCATCCAGGGAGCCCATGCCTCGATATTTCTTAAGTCGAACTCCATCAGCAAAGAAGTATTCCCCTGGAGCTTCTGAAGTTCCCGCAAGCAGTGATCCCATCATAACTGAAATAAAGAAGTTAGAACATTTTCTTTAAACTATGATATTCAACACATAAAGTAAAATATTTTCCATTATAGTTTTAATTCCTTGCAAAAACTTTCATCAGAAAGGAAATATTTGCTCCTGGGCATGTACCACCAGCTGGACTTGACACACACAAAAAAGGGCTAATAATAACACACATAAATAGCTCAAAAGAACTACCATAAAATGATCTCAATTTTGACATATAATGCTTGGCTCATCTTGTTTTCGTTATTATTGTTTCAATTAATTCCAGGAAAGTGTACGGCAACAGTGACGGCAGACACAGGTGATCACGGCTATTCATGTCTGGATACACAGTGTCTGTCCATAAAAAATGGTAATCTAACATTTTTATGTTCCACATAGAATACCAATTTAACTTAAGTTTGTTCAGTATTATGTGTATTAAGACAAGCTTACCTGTAGATGCTCCTAAAGCTAAAGCCTTTAGAATATGGCCCACAGACTGTATTCCACCATCTGCTATCACTGGAATGCCAAACCTTCGTGCATACTCTGCAACCTTGTAAACAGCAGTACCTTGGGGACGGCCCACAGCCATCACTGAAATAGTCAGGGTTAATGCATTCCCTGGATCATAATATATATTTGGAATTTAAAACACCTAAATGGCTTATTTTGTTTCACAGCCTCAAGATGAATTAATTGAAAGAAACATATTGTTTACTGTCAAAACTTAAGCTGACATTGAAGCATCTGTAGGATATATACCTTCTTGCGTGATACATATGGAGCCGCTTCCCATTCCAACTCTGAGAGCATCAACACCAGCATCAATCAAGTTCTTGGCCTGGGCTGCTGTCACAACTAGAAACACCACAGTTTAATGAGTATGTATTAAGTAATGTGGAAATTTCATTAATACTGAAAAAGCAAGTCATCTTTTCCTTTACAGTGGCATACAATCTGAGGGAGGGTGCTATCATAGTTGTTAAGATGATATAAGAGTGGTGTCTAAAATTGTTTATCTTAAATAATCATCACCATTAGATGTGTATATCATTCATCAAAATGCGATTTTAACTACGTTTTTTGTGCGTTCTTCGCATTCAGTTTTATGCTCTGCTGTCTTCGAAAATGCACGCACCTTTCACTACAAATACTATTAGGGTTTCCTAACCAGCATGGCCATTGCATCATTTGACGTTGTGTAAGTGCAAGGTTTCCAAATGTTAAACGTCTTATTTACCTCTGTTGAAATGCCACTGCCCTCTCTATTATGTTCCTACTTTTATTCATGCTAGTTTTGTGTCATACTTCCTTCTGCTTTTTATCCCTCTTATGTGCTAAAAAGTTTTTCTTTGCATCTTCCGATGCAGTGACTTGTTAAATTGGGACAGTCACGTGGTACGCCTGCTAACTCCACCTTCACCGCTGGAAAGTAGGTTGAGCAGTTTTCCCACACTTCTGTTCCATGACAAACAAAAATCACACCACCATACTTAATCTTACTATCATTTCACACAATATAAACCAAACTGTTTTATCTTAAAACCAGAGTGTCAGCAAGGTGTACCTGCCTCCTGGCTCTGTACAAACAGCTGTGTTAGACACCTCATTTTGACCAAGCAGATGCATTTTTAGATCAACATTAAATAGAAATCATCAGAGGTAGTCTAAAATGAGGCTGTGGGCAGTGTGATATCATTAATTTATAGAAAATGTGCTAGAATCCCTATGAGGTTATCCAGCTATCAGTGTGAATCTCAATGCACAGGAAATGTCCCCAAAGAGAGTAATACAAAAGTGACACACAATGCATGTTGAATTAACACTGTTGTGCAAAAGACTAACCTGACAGAAGTTAAACAATGAGAATATCCATGGATAAACTGAACCTGAATTTCTAAGAAATAAAGCTCCCAGTATATTCAACATAACACAAACAAACAAAAAAATAGTTCCTGAAAATCAGCAGAAACAATTTCTACCAAAATTTACATAAATTCAGTCTTCGACGTTAAGCGGTGGACCGTGGACCGAGTCCACTAAATTTTCCGTCGGTCCAGTAAATATTGAAATTTAAGTGGACCGACGGTCCAGCTAAAATATTGAGAGATGCATGGGTTGCGTTGAGCAAAATTTAGAGCACATAAAATCAAATAAAAATTGTGTTATCTTTGCGAATATATAGTCTAAAAGGTTGTGATAACGCGAGCCATAACCAAAATAAAATGAGTGTGGCAGATGAGCCCAAACACAATGGTTGTGCGCAATGTGAGCTTTGAGAATTCTGATTGGTCAATTATATTGGGTCATCCAATCACGGTCTTGAAAGTGTGAACCACGAGGTTTTACGAAATGGCGTTCCTGAAGCATTTTGCGAAACCCGGAGTAAAAAGAAAAGTGTTAGATCTACAAAGTCAAGAGTACGAACGAAAAAGGATAAGGAAGTTTCAAAGTTCGTGGCAGCACAGTTTTTCCTGGCTTGTGTATGACACCGAGGCTAACACCATGCATTGTAAAATCTGCCGAAGTCTGAAAAATGATTCTGGTGGGGATTCCCCCCTTATCGCGGGAACGTCAAATTTTAAGATAGATGTTGTTAGGCTACATGCAGCATGTAAACAACACCAGCGGAATTCTGAACTTATCGCAGCAAAATCTACGCCCATTTCCCAGAGTGTAGCGGCAGACTGCCTGGGGAAACTGAAGAGGGCTGAATATACCAGGCTGGTATCCAAGTTCCGATCGGCACACGCCATAGCCAAGCACCATCTGAGTTTCAATTTGTTTAAGACATTTTGTAAACTGGACACGGCCAAAGGCCTTGGTGTTGGCACTTCTCACACCACTGACAAGTCCGCTGCACAATTTGTGTCTGCTATCGCAAATGTGGAAAGGAGAAGGGTAATTCAGAAGATTGAATCATGCAAATTTTTGAGCTTAACTATGGATGTGATATTCTGGGGGGTTTGTCACTTTATGTGTTTTTTTACTTAAATTAAATCAAGACATTGCTGTTATAATAAAATGTTATTGCTGTGTGAATACTAATGAAATGTTTTCAAATAAAATTATCAAAATTTAATAGTCACTGTTTATTAAGTAAGGTTATATATTATTTCTTTTTTTATTCTGTATTATTATCATTTATTTATTTATTTATTTATTTATAATTAAATTATTGCCAATTTCATTTACTATAAACATCTCATCTTTTTTTAGAATAAATAAATAAATTTGGTACAAAAACATCAGCCTTATTTATTATTTTCTTTTAAAACAAAAATTATTAGAATTGGTCCAGTAAAAGTTGGTTCGGTCCAGTAGGAATTGCAGTCTTGGTGGACCAAATGTCCACTAATTAAAAAATTTATTCGTGAAGACTGTTGGACAGTATTCCACAGAAACACTACACTTGTTGTATTCTGCACGAACAAAATGGTATTTCACATCAATATGCTTGGATCTTTGATGTTTCACAGAATTCTTAATCAAAGCTATAGCACCTTGGTTATCCTCATAAATTGTTACAGGACTAACTCCACAAAATGTGCTATTTCCAATCCCCTTAATCAACTGACTTAGATACAGACTCTCTTGTACTGCACTGGCTAGAGCCATGTACTCAGCTTCACAAGTTGAGAGTGCTACAGTAGGCTGTTTCCTAGCTTTCCACGAAATAAGTGGTCCATCTTGACTTAATGAAAAACAATACCCTGTATAACTACATCTATCTTCTTGTGAAGATGCCCAATCAGCATCACTGTAACCAAATAAACATAAGTTTTCTTCAGATCTCCTGAAGCTTAACTTGTAATCTACAGTCGCCTTAATGTACCTAAAAACATGTTTGACTGCAATCCACTGATCACTTGTTGGATTCACTAAATACTGAGAAAGCTTCGTAACTATCCAGCATAAGTCTGGTCTAGTGCACAGCATTGCATACATAATGCTACCTATAGCTTCTCTGTACTTCTTACTATCAACAGTATCACCTGTCCCAACAAAATCTAGTTTTTGCTCGCTAGGAGTGCTTCTCCCTTTGCATTCGGTCATTTCAAATTTCTCAAGTACTTTGGTTAAATACCTTTTCTGGCTCATGATAATCTGACCATCAATCTGCTCAAAATCAATTCCTAGAAAGTAACTTAATTTTCCCATATCTTTCATTTGGAATCTTGCACTGAGTAATTCCTTGATCTCATGAATAACTGATACATTGTTTCCAGCTATCAATACATCATCAACCCAAATAAGCAAAATAACAACATTTTCACCATCACCTTTGGTAAAAATACATGGATCAACCTCATTCTGGATAAACCCATTCTCTATCAAATAACTACTCAAAATTGTGTTCCAGTTCCTACTGGACTGTTTCAAACCGTAGAGAGATTTGTTCAGTTTCCACACTAACTTTTCACCTTTGTCATTCGCATGTTCAGTAAAACCTTCTGCTGGCTCTACATATATTTCACAATCAATTGGAGCATTTAAGTAAGCTGTTTTCACATCCATCTGATGCAACTCTAAATTACACTGTGTAGCTACTTGCATCAATACACGTATAGATGTGAGATAAGGAGTTGGAGCAAAAGTTTCATGGTAATCTGTGCCCTCTCTCTGTGTAAAACCTTTTGCTACATACCTGGCCTTATGCTTTAATGTACCATCACTATTCTCTTTCAAAGCATATACCCAACGTCCATCTATGATCTTTCTATTTTCTGGCAATGTAACTACACTGAAAACTTCATTTTCTCTGAAAGAATTCATTTCTTCATCCATGGCACGCTGCCATTTACTGGCATCATCAGATCTAACAGCTTCATCATATGTCTGAGGACACTCTAATATCATCCTATAACAATAGTCCACAGTAATGTAAGATTGGTCTTCATTACCATCACCTAACACATAATCATTAAAGTGTTTTGGCATTGAATGCTCCCGTGCTGGGTAACGCCTCTCAGGCTCAGTACCCTGTGGAATATCCCCCACTGAATTCTCAATACCCCCACTCTCTATCTGTGGCTTAACTTCCTGCGTAACCTCTGATTTGACATTCCCAGTACATCTCACTTCTATCTGAGACTTCGACTCCTGCTTGATATTTTCACTACCTCCCACTTCTATCTGAGGCTTAAACTCTTTAACCCAAATTATGACAAGACATAACATCCATTTAATGTTAACTGTAGATCACCTTTATATCAGGCTTAACTGGTGGTGTCTGATCATGGCACTCTAAATGATCATTAGTGCACTTCGAAATTTCACCTGTAAATTTCACACACCTACTCTTTTTGACTACACCTGTCTCAGGAAAATAGACAAGATATGAAGAGCTTCTTTTATCGTGCCCAACAAAAATTCCTTTCTTGCACCTGGGATCTAATTTGCCTTTGTGTTGTTCATAACTATAACAAGTTGAACCGAACACATGCATACGTTTTGCACTGGGTCTAACACCCGTCACTGCCTCAAAAGGCGTCATTTCAATGCGGTTGTTGTAACATCTATTCCTAATATGTGCAGCAGCCATCACCGCATACACCCACATTACCTTGGGTAATTCTGCCTCAATCAGAANTGTTGTGCAAAAGACTAACCTGACAGAAGTTAAACAATGAGAATATCCATGGATAAACTGAACCTGGATTTCTAGGAAATAAAGCTCCCAGTATATTCAACATAACACAAACAAACAAAAAAAATAGTTCCTGAAAATCAGCAGAAACAATTTCTACCAAAATTTACATAAATTACCAGAATAAAAATAAAAAACACTCTGACCAGTCCAGAGAAGTAGTTCAAATACTAAACCTGAGGTCTGAATTGAACATCTCTATGATGACACTGATTTCAAGTTCAAGCTATAGTATATGATTCCTGAGACATTTCACATCCAAATTTGAATTTTTATTTGACGAAGTTGTCTTGCACAATGCCTAAGGCATCTGAAAATGCACTGACAGACCCTTAAACCTCTCAGGGCAAATTGACATTTTGTGGTCTTAAAGAACAAGGAAGAAGTCCATCATTTTTAAGGAGTAGCAGTAAGTGCAGGCTAAAACAGGCTAAAACCAAGGTATCTCCAGCACACATGCAGCTGGTACAAACAATCTATAAACAACCCAAGCACAATTAAACAGGAAACAATAAAATCCTGTGTATCAAAGAATCATACCATTTCCTCCAATGATCTGTAGCTCTGGATAGTTGCCTTTTATGTATCTTATCATGTTGATCTGGAATATGGAGTTGCCCTGTGAAGAATCCTAGAACACAAAGCAAATTTAATGTAATCATTGGAAACCCAAATACTTATTGATGACAGTACCATACCAACATAGTGGCTTTTATGGTTATGTCTTTCTTTAAAAAATATTCATGTTGTACTTTAACTATATATACACATAACATGACGTAAGTAAACATCAACCTGGGCCCAGTTTCATCAACACTGGATAGCGCTATCTTATGGATAATAATGTCCACTGTATAAATATGCTATGCTATGGGCAGTTGTCCTGAAGAAAGCAGTCATTTTTAACCACTGGATAGCAACATCAGAAACAAAAATATTTGTCTAGCATTAAGGAAATATTACTTTAAACACAGGATAGCAGTCCAGAGGCTAACAATTTTATCCAATGGATAATGTTGTCCATAGGATAGCGCTATCCAGTGTTGATGAAACTGGACCCAGGATTTTAAGAGCAATATCCTTTGTAGATCATTGCAGATTGACTTCAAATGTAATATGCCTTCTTCAAACCGTTTCAAATGAACACACATAAAAATGTCAAATCTGATAGAAACAGTTACATTTACACTACTATACAAACCTGTTTCCACATCTTCCTCAGTTTGGGAGATATTTCACATTTAATTTTGAAGCATTCTAACAACATATCCAATCCCACAATCTAACAGGTGTCCTAATTCCATAAGATGAAGGCATAGGTCTTTGTAGTATTTGAAGAAGAGTGATACAGGAGACTAGTTCCCAACAGCCAGGTCTTGAGGGGGCTGAACAGGGCAGTTCCAGACCAATCCAAGGATCCCCCAGTGGTACAATTATTTGTCAAAATGTCAATGTGATAGCCGTGCTTCATTTTATGTTTTGCCCATCATGGTTCAGATTTCACTTGAACATTCTATAAAAAGGTTTTTCATTAAATGTAATTGGAAATCTAGTGGACTTTAAACAAAATAATTTCTGATGAAAATGAATCCACTAACCAGCACAACTACGTCAACTCCAGCCTGGACAAGGAGGTCCAGTCGTGTCCTGTCCTCTTCATGAGTACTGATAGCTGCACCAACCAACAACTGCTTTCTGGGGAAAGACAAAAAAGAAAAAAATGTGGTCTTCATAACAGATTACTTTTATTGAAATTCAATTTTGGTTACAATATGATATTAAAACTCTGTATGATGTGTAACTACAACCAAGGTTATGGTGACGGAATGACATGGTTATGCCAAAATTAGTGATTTCTGACTTAATATGCTTAACATATTCACCTTACTTCTATAATAAAAAAAAAGAAAACTGCACATTATCTATAGTTGAAAATATTACCGTCTTATCAAATAAATCTATCAATGTTTTATGGCAGATTATAAAGACTGTTTAACATTATTTTATTGAAAAATTTTATTTTCATCAATGTGGATGGCTCATAGGTTTGTTTGTCTAAATGTCTGAAGATAGTTTAAACCTGATCTGAGGTGTGATCAGGATGTTCAAACAAAGCATCCAGAATTACCTTAGTCAATTATGTACTTTCAAAATGTCCAATTTTGCTCTTATTTACTAAATTTTAGTTGAGCTTTGCTCACTAACTTAGAGTGTAGGCAGCTCCAGTAGAGACTTAGATTTGTGGACTTGCTAAGATAAAATGAGGTAAGCTGCCTTTTATATTATTTGTAAAACAACTTAGTCACACACAGTCTTTGTAACATAGATGACAAAGATTTAAGCCACAAAACTGACTTGAGATTTTTTTTTGAAACAGGGGCCATATCTAAATCTGTTACTCTAAATGTGACCACTGCAATGAGAATCTGCATTTACAAAACATCTGTGCAAACTACTTACTTGTCATCCATGGATGCTACAGGGAATTCTCTCCTCTTTTTTAAATCTGTCCTGGCCATCAGAGCAACCAGTTCACCATTCTCATTTACAATGGGGAGCTTGCCTTGAATGAAATAAATATTCTGTACAAGTGGAAATGTTAACATGAGTACTCAATCTATAATAGTTAATATTATTATTATTATTTATTAAACTTAAGAAATAAACATTACAATGTACAATACAATATCAATTCACTTCTCATTCTCTCTCTCTCTCTCTCTCACAGACACACACACGCACACACACTGCCATAAACTACTGTATATTCAGCATTTTCATGTATGAAAAAAATGCACATATAGATAAGTACAGTATTTTTTCCAGTAAAGAAAGCATTCACTGTCCCTGAAGGACAGATGACCTCCATTTTTTTTCTCAAGTAGTATTTCACCTGAGAAATAATTTTTTTTTCATTGTCTACGAGAATAAAATCAAATACGAACATTGGCTCCCTTTTCTTCCCTAATCCAGTTTTTGATTTGTTTCCACACGTTTTTCATGAAATCACAGTCTACAAACAAATGCTTATTTGTTATTAATTATTATTATTATTATTATTATTAAACTTACCTTTTCTGCTTTCTTGCAGTATTTTGTTGGCCTCTGACAAAGTGACCCCCGCTGTGGCTGTCACCAGGTTCTCTAGGGAGGTCATGACCTGTGGGTGAAAGGTTAAAGGTCACTCATACTGTATGATTAAATAAACCACTCAAATGATTCAAATGCTAGTGTAATTATGAATTAAAAAAAAAAGGTCACGATTTCCTAAAAATTTTCAACTGACATTATGACAGGATGTACATTCTCTTTTTCTTTATAATTTCACACTATAATCATGGTGTTTATTTCCATATTGATGGGGCTAAGAATGAAGGTCACAATGACAATATAAATAAAGGTCTATATACAAATTCTGACTTCTCAAAGACATTTAAAATAAAAAGGTTAAGTTACACAAACAGGTCATAAAAATCATTTTCTTGAAATATCTTTCTTATCCCACTTTCATACCTCTTTAACAGGTCTGTCATACTTTTCTGGGGGGAGGAAGTCAATATCTCTCTGTGTCACCAGTCCTACCAGCCGCCCACCCATTCTGCCGTTTTCTGTAATAGGGAAGCCAGAGAAGCCATATTTTTCCTTCTCTTTCCACACATCAGCCACTGTGTTGTCTGGGCCCATCACTACTGGGTCTACTATAAATCCCTGCTTGTATTTCTGAAATGTGACCAAATCATGGAATCAATTCTGCAGGTTTCACCATTCAACTGGGCACAAATTTTCAGTAAATTGATTGCTCAAAATATATAACACTAAAAAATATATAGCACAATTACAGTCATTTGACATCAGCATGTGTACTTTCATGTATGTCTGACCCAAAAAAATATAATAATCAACAGACTTTGAACATTTGACAATCCTCAAATTTATCATAAAGAATCTATTTTAACGTGGCCTATATTTTCTAATCAAAATTAGACATCTAATATTGCTCAAACACAGACAAAAATAAAAATCATTAAAAGCAACATTTTCCAGGTATGATGGGGGTGAAAAATCTAAATAATCTTATCAATTTTACCTAAAAAATGTTTAATAATAATAATAATAATAATAATAATAATAATAATGCTCACTGGCAACTTCAAAAGGTTGATTGTACAACTAGTCATATAAATGAATTCAAGTTGTTAAATGTATTAAATAAAATGAAAATTGACTTGTTGAAATGAATTAAAATAAGAATAATGAGGATATCAAGGAGTCTTACTTTAAAATCATACGAAAATTCCATTAATTTTCAAAAGCATGCAGTGCCCATGGTAGGAACATCTTTGAAGATCTAAAATTTTATTCTCAATTTTGGGCCAGTATTGTTTTAAAGAGTACAACAGGAAAGTTAATCTATAACAACACAGATAGGAAAAGTTTCAAACAAGGTTGAGAAACTGATAGACGCAGTCCCAAAGAAGTATGCTTCACTGTTCCTACTTATCACTTATGACAAGAAAAAGGACGCTTTGTGTCCATTCATTATTTCACTTCTGTAACAGTATCAACCAAAAGTTATAAAAAGCATGTTCCCATTTTACTTACCTTCACTAGTCTAACTTCATTTGCCTGAAATTCTGGAGTGCAATTGTGGTGAATGATTCCTACGCCTCCAGTAAGCTACAAAGGAAATAACCCAATAAAACTGCAATGACAACACACTACACATCATACACTACAGTATCTGTTATTGTGGACATTCAGACCTTCGAACTGGAACAAGATCTGTGCTAAAAACTGAAACCACTGTTTTCTGATTATTTGTATTAAAAATTTAAAATATTAAAATGAATGCAGCTTGAACCCCATATTTTAACAGAACATCTACTAGTATATCAATTTATAAGTGGCTAATCCAGCTGATTTTAACATTCTTTTTTAAGAAAAAAACACATCTTCATTGCTTTAATTCTATTCATAGTCAATTTTTGTCCAGGTCTCACAACCGTGTCAGTGATGGTATATGTCAGCTGAGAACTTTTTAAATCCATTCTTGTTAAACTTCAGGTAACAAGTCTGTGAAGGTGCCTTTTAACTATTTTTTTTTTCTTTTAATCTCACTTTCACTTTTTGATCAGATGTAACAAAGTTACACACGTCAGATAATTGAAAATTTTAAGGGCTGTGTTCAGAATAGAAGTTACTTTACTAGCAGGAACGATCTATCTCAGCAGAGATTCTCACTAAGGCATAGCTTTATTGTCTGGTATGTCGCCTTACAAAACAACATGATGTACCACAAAGTATTCCCGCCTTTCTCCAAGTGCTTTAGAGAGGGCGTGCTACACAATAAAGCTGATTACAGTGACTGGGTCTTGGTGATATCCCACAGGATAGATCGATCCTGCTAGTATGATAACTTATATTCTGAAAAAAGCCAAAGATACTACAGGGTTAGACAAAAACTCCCACATTATTGCCTTAAAATACATGTTTTGATGTCCACTGACTTGATTACTTTTCATTTACACAATGTCATTTTACTGCTGACATGACAATTATGATTTGGGGGTAAAAATGCAGAACTGGTTTCTTAAATATCTCCTTTATCTGAGCACCCACAGGCAAAAATGCAAATGTAATGACACTACTGAGTGCCTTTAAATCCATGCCAGCCATTATACTTATACTCTGAAGTTCTAAATAATCAAGTAAGTAAGAACTTCAAGTAAGCCTTAGTTCATATTTCATTATTAAAAAGCAAAATAATGCCTTGTTCAATAAAAAACAATTCATCTGTAATTAGGAGTACCAATCTCCCTCAGAAAAACATTTAAACCTTAATGAGGGCACAGGATTGTAGATTGTACCCTTCTCCACTCCCATGCCAATATTTTGGTAAAATCTTGCATAGGTAAGAAGTTATATCTTATGCCGAGTTCTATCTCACCTCAAGATAGAAACCTGTTTATTGGTGATAAATGATCCAAGTTCCTGTTTTTGTTTATAATAGCCACTTACTTAAACTGTTAATAATACATGCTATTAGTGGTATTAACAGATAACCTTTCTTATCACAGTAATTTGAAACCTTGGGAGTGAAACACTTTAAATTATAAGAAATAATTAGCATTTGATAATTTGATCACAACTACCTGCTGGCTTTCTTGCATATGCAGGAAAAAAAGACCACAATACCAATCTGTCACACAGAGTATTTTGTGCTAACAATCCCTCTTTATGTCTTAAACCATAGCTTATGATATGAGCTCAATGCAACTTACTGCCATAGCAATGGCCATCCTGGCCTCAGTGACAGTGTCCATAGGAGAAGACACTAGGGGGGTCTTCAGGGTGATCTTCCGGGTCAAGGCAGATGTCAAATCCTGAAATAGTAGCAGCACTCTGAATTTCTTGTCATTTAAAGAATTAAATACTTATTCTTTTTAAAAAGTACACTTCTCATTTTTCACACTTAAATTAAATTAAAGTTTCAAATGAAAAATAAATAAATAGATAATAATAATAATAATAATAATAATAATAATAATAATAATAATAATAATAATAATAATAATAATAATAACACAAGGCAGTGAAGCTGTCAAATGTACAGACAAAAAGCTTCTGCCATTACAATTACTCATTGAATTTATTAAATTTGATTAAATTTTCGGGGGGGGGGGGGGGGGGCACAATTCAAGGGCCAAATTTTGTTAAATTTAAATCCAAATGTCACCAGAATGCACCAAATGGCCCCTAAAAATACAAATTTTCTTGGGGGAGGACCCCCAAACCCCCACCCACAGAAGCGGGGCATATCCCCCATCCCAGTCCCTCCCCCTCTGGCTACGTCTCCGTCCATTGGACCTCATTGCTTCTATACTCCCAGATTTTCTAATTACACTCCCAGTCAGTCCATTCCTGGCTTATTCTCCGATGTGCAGATATATATATTTTTCTTTTTTAATGCTAGTGACACCACCTAGGGTGTCAAAAGTTACAAAAATTAAACCAGCCAATAAAACAAATAAATAAATAAATAAATAAATAAATAAATAAATAAATAAATAAATAAATAATTGTCAACAAAACTCACCACATCATCTGAAGTGAAGTCTATGAAGCCTGGCAGAATGATAAAATCACTGAAAAGATAAAACAACTAGACAGCAAAGTCAACAGATACCAAACAACAAAAGATACTAAAACAATACTGACTAAAATTATGCAAAATAATATATGCTAAGTTCTAAACAGATTCAATTTCATCATCAACAACATTCTTAAAATCTTATGAAAAAATTTCCAGTTCAGCAACAGGCATGATTCGTCTAAAAGAAGTAAATTTTTTCACTTTTCACAAGCTCTTTTGGTTTTCTGACTGATCAACAATACACACTACTATGCCAGCTGCTTTCATAATTTTAATTTCTGTCCACTGAACACAACAGTTCATTTAACACTGATAATAATCTGTAGGAATAAACCATGAACAAACTTTCATTAAACTTGCATAATTGCTCAACATTAAAAATCAACAAATATGACTAAATTATTAAGTAAATTAAAACAAATGATTTTGCGGTTATTTTCATTAGGGTGGACAACAGATGTGTTGGCTTTTGAATGCTGTTAATGGCTGATTGCTGTCCTATCATGGTTAACTTTTCTTATGTGAACAGACTACATACCCCCTACTGCAGTCCAGACAAATATGGGTCTATAGCAGTTAACACTAAATCATGGTCAAGACTGTTAAAGGGATAGTAACTCTTCGTTTTGGCCAAGAAATGAATTTTCCTGGAGGAAACAACAATTTTCCCATACTTACCAATGGTTAATGAATCTATTTTTACATTCAAAGTAAGTCCCTGTTTTTTTTCTGAAAAGCTTGGAGATTATAACAGAGTATAGCCATCAATGGAGGTCATGTGGTCTGAAGACGAGCTCAGATATCAGAATAATAGCTATAACTGCAGTTTTTGTGGTAAAACAGAATATATTATATTTCAATGAGTTGTTCACAATGTTTTTATTGTGAAATATAGATTTCATACAAAGAGTTATTATCCCTTTAATATTTTGCTGGTTAATTACAGTGTCATGTTTTCTTCTTTCTCTTGGAAATTATATATATGTATGCATGGTAAGTTTTTTGTGTTGATAAGAAAGAAAGAAATTATTTAACATGTTTTTGTAAAAGACAATGAATCTGGCATAACTTTCCATTCATTATGCAGATGCAGCACACTACTTTTATATTTGAATAAATCATAAATATCACTTAAAAAATAACAAATATATGATTGCACATGATTTTGGATTTTATTTCACCCCCCCCCCCCCTACCCCTCAAAAAATAATCTAGAACATCATCCAAAACATCAATATTAGTTGTACTGAATACAAACGGTAAAAGGAAAAGTGTTTATGTTAAGCCCTAACTAAACACGAGATGGCTAGAACCTCATGCACAAAAGAAAACTGGGTGGTACACTAGGGAGGCCAGGTCAACTTTGAAGCAACATTAATATCAGCCAAACTGGTCAAAATGTCAATAGTGCTCAATGTTTTGTTTTTTTTTCAACCTTAAGGCTTCAGAATCAGTGCCCAAAGGCTGCTTTACAATGAAAATGATTCTAAAAGATGCGCCATCACTAAAAACAAAAATGGTTTCTAATATATCTGTTGCTACGGAAACTGTCACTATGAAAGTTGTTGCTATGGTAACAGTTTGAATTATTTTTTACACATTTTCATGAATTTTTAAACTGAATATGAAGTGGGAAACAATCTTGGTGTTCAATATATGAATTTAAGTTGAATAGTAAACAAATACAATGTTACTGTTGCCATTGTAACCAATATTATTACTGTACGATTTTAAGGTTTAACTAGTATAAAATGCCAGAATACACGATGAAAATAAGTAATATCTGATTTTGGTAAGTTATCATTTTGCCAAATAAATTTGAATTGATATTGGACATCACAACAGCTAAGTAATACAAAACCAGTGAGATTTTTTGGAGAGACTGCCATAACAAAATGGCAGTTTTAGGAATTTCCATTTCTTTTTTTTGTTAAGAAAAAAAAAATAGAGGATCACCGCCTCCTGATATTGTACCACCAGCTGGAGTCAGCATGGAAAACAAAAAAAAAAAGGGACAGCACCTACATTATTGTGCTTGATGCAACTAGGGACAACACTGGGCATATCTCTGCCAGTTTTCGAAATATAAGGGATAGAAAATTTGCAAAGTTCAGTTCATGGTGAAAATTACGTCAAAGGTCAATTTACCGAACATAGTTAGATTGCCAGTATATGACTTCCTATTCAAGTTCAATAGTAACTATGGACGTGTCTTTGCCAATTTTGGAGATATAAAGATCAGAAAACTTGCAAAGTGCAGTTCATGGTGAAAAGTAGGTCAAAGGTCAATTTCAAGGTCACATTCAGATTACCAGTATACGACTTCCTNGGGCATATCTCTGCTAATTTTGGAGTAATTCACATTTTATTTATACCACTGAATATTGCGACATTGCACTTTTTTTATCTTTTGTTTGTTTTTTTTTAAAACCGTATCGAAACCAAAAAAGTGGACACCACCTCCAGTATTGTGCTTGACAAGTTCTACAAAATGCAAAAATTATAAGGTTTCTAGCATTTACAATTACAGAATTAGAGAGAGTTTTCAGTTTCGGTACATCTAATGGCTGCTTCTCCCATGAAAAAGCACCGATTGACCCCAAACTCCCAAAGATGAAAGGAGTCCATGACTGTTACCCCTCGCCATAATATGAAGGCTTAGGTCTGTGTAGTTTCTGAAAATTGGTAAAAATATTTTTTTTGTAGAAAATTCCCATTTTTAGGAAATTTTGGCCTGTTTGACCTTGAAATAAAGGTTGAAAGTCAAATCTAAGGGCATATTTGGAATCTCAACATATGACTTTCGGTCAGACTTCTGCAGTAATTTTTCCTATTATTCCTTCAGTTTGGGAGATATTTAGCATTGAATTTTCAAAAATTTTGACAAGGGTGCATTTCAATGAATGTCACACCCAGGCCAATGCACGGATTGAGAGAAAAATACCAGGGGGTTCAAGTTGATATTATATGTGACCTAATTCCAAGAGAAGGGGACACAGGTCCTTGTGGTCTAGGAGAAGCAGTAACGGCGACTTGTATCCCACAACACCCTGTGAAGCCAAGGGCGCTGGCAAGGTCAACGGAGCCGGCCGAGTCGTATGAGACGGGTCGGGACTTAAACTATGAGTACCATGGTCTGCTTGACAGCAATCAAGAGAGTTAATTGCTCTGACCTTAATTACTTGCTCTTCTGTGACAGATAAAAATAGCCCCCTATAAATAGCTTGTTGCTACAGAGTGAGGTTAACTGAGGAACCCCCTGTAGTAGTTGTAGAGGTAATACTGGTGCAGTAAATAATTTTATAAGAAGTACTTAAGTAAACAAATGGAAGAGTCAATGCATCACTGATAATGATATTATGAAATCAAACTGATGTTGTACCATGACCGTACGTAGAACATCGAAGCTGCTCTTTGTAGTCCTACTACCCGCGAACACCTACCTTTAGCATATCATAACTGCAGTAGACGTTTTACCAGGAGTCCGAAAGAAGTACTCTGAAGTGCCGAAAAATAGTGCTGGCACGATTATTTTTTTCCGGAAATTTTCCACCTGACACTATATTATTACCCGGCACGGGTCTATTAAATGGAGAAATGATACATTGTTACACATGTTGTTAGAAAGCCCATTCAATGTACTTTTTAAATATATTTTCATATTTATCACTGGGCCCAAATCTTGGAAGTTATGATGGAAAACAAACAGCGAGACGTTTTTTCCTGTTTTGGACCATGTGAGTGGTATGACCTGACATCCCTAGGTACACAGTTAACTGTTCATGTTTCATTTAAAGTTGCCTTACATATATTAAACTATTATGATTAACATTAGAATATAAAAGAGTAATATTGAAAAATAAATGAAAATGCCTCTGAAGATAATCTGAAAGTTAATACATTGGCTGAATATATAAGGAAGAAGGGGGGGGGGGGTAACCATAAAAAAAAACCCAAAAAAATCTGACATGCTAGTGAAAAACTTACTAGTACTAGTAAGTCATTGTTTGAATACATAGCATAAATTTTGCTGACCATGTAAAAGATTCAAATCAAAGGTTGGTCCTTTAAATTTTCACTTTCAGCCTTTCCCAGACTGTACAAAACCTTGTCTATAAGTGGTGGTACTGATAGTATTTGGGCATATTATATATGTCCCAACAGAGGTCAATCAGTTCCCAGTGAAGGAGTTACTGAGTGGCATGCAGTGTAAAGATGGAAAAAGATTTTCTGATACTCTTAGGACGCTTTTTATGCAAGTTTTAGTAAGCAACCTGGGTCACCTATTATCGTCTATAGTGCTCCATAATAGTAAATAGACGTACATATACCTACGATCAACAACTTTGTCCGTGTCGTGTCCTTAGTGCGGTGAATACCAATTAGTTTACCCTGTAAGCTTTAATTGAAGACATGGATTGGTTAAATTCTAAAATTTCTTCTCTGAGTTTAAAGAGAAGACTTTTGGTATTCATCAAAAATTATGAGGTTACTAAGTACACCAAACTAGGATAGGTCAGGCATAAACAGCGTGGTAGAAATGGATTTTATAACTTACTTGTAAGTAAGCCCCTCCCCGTTCGCAAAAAGCTGAGCCCCAGTAAGCCCATCGTCGGGGACATATCCTGTCCCTCCGGTAATCAAATAATCAGCCATACTGAAGAGAAAAAAATGTTCAAATAAAATATCACAAAGAACACCTGTCTGCGATCACGCTTTTGTTGTTTTCCAACATGGCGGCCAGCCTCATGGTGAAATGAGGTCAGTATGACTCACCTGCAGGGGATTCCCCGCCTAATATAGACCTACTATCAAATTCCATTTACAACCTTTTTCTCGGGAGGTTTAAAGTAAGGAAGGATTAATTTGATTTGTCTCAAGTTATCCAGACCATTCAAACTGAGTGAAAACGGCTTCCAATATGATAGAGAAAGAGAGAGAGAGACGTGACACTTTCTTCGTTGAAAAACCATAATTATTTCATGTTAGGTGTCAACACACACGCCTCGCTCTCCAGTATAACGTAACTTCTTAAGGGCGTACCGAACGCAACCTCTTCTGACAGGCCTTACTAAAGGAATGTAGGATCTAAACTTCAGTGACGGTTCTACTTTATCCATTAGCATGAATTAAGACAAATGCAGAGAAGGCATACATGTATAAGATAGTATAAGATAGCAGAAAACTAATTATCACATTTGCCTACCTTGCAGCAGAAATTCCCAGTTTTTGCATGCTTGTCACCCTCCGTGTCTCTGCTGTCGTGAAGCCTGAGCTATGAGTCGTAACCGGAAGGGGCTGTTGTGCACTGTAGGCATAGCAACTGAAGTGCTTGAGTGTGTCTTCTACCTGACCACTGGAGGGACAGGTAGCGCCGAAGTTACCTTGAACAGGTGTTTCTGACGGAGAAGGAGAGACGGCATGTTCAAACATATGCCCCTTAGGATTAGGTATCTGGTCGGATTCTGAATCTCCAGCTCTTTCTGACATGGTATGATCAGTGGATGTCTTGTGTGTTATAGACCTACAGCTGATGGATCGGATTCGTCACTCGCATTCAGATCCTCTGAGTATCAGAAAACAGAAAAGAACAGAAAAAAATCCAGTGCACAACCTATGAAATGTGACAGGAATGGTAGTTCTAGGAATGGTGTACAAGTGCATGTATATGGTTTGAATGTCTGCACAAAGTAACGGGGTGCGGACAACGGTTCCTAGCGGACTACCACTCCTCTCACGCCGGCATTGGTACATGTAGGCCCTACAACACTGTTTATTCAAATACTCCTATAGCGGTTAGACAGGGTCGTTAACAATAAGACTTTAAAAAAAATGCTTTATTTAATTTAGAGAAAACCCATATTTACCAGATTTCTCGTCACCCATTTGGGAGGGAGGAAAAAATAACACCGTTATTAAAAAAACTATCTTGATTGGATTGTTTTCATTAGATGTTTGAGTATTAATTGAGTAGGCTTACTGCTCGGACAAACTCACCATTCCCCCGTACTAATTCTTTTAAACCCAAAAATCTATTTGGGCAATCTGACATTAATTGACTTTTGATGTGCTTGGTGCATTTTCTTATGTCAGTCATCATGTAGTCTATCTACACGGCGCGACCCCAAACAAAGGTTAAGAGCACACTGTTGAATATGGAAGTCTATATTCGTGTTATAACTGATACTAAAAATATAACGATAGAAACATAATAACGCTGCGCTGGCATGTATTTTGACAGCTGACATTAGTGATTCAATATGAAAGCTATTATCTATGGGATTATTTGATACTATACATACTGAATGATTTGTTTTGCCATGAAAATTACTGTTAAAATCCCACCTTTAGGCCAAGCAAGTCAGTTGTTGCGCGTCATGTTAAGAACCCTGTCTGCGGTACGAGTATATTTCCCCTCGTCTGGCACAGATAAAAATAACGTTTTGGCAAGTAATTTGCTAAACAAACATGTGTCCATATGACACATCTGCAGTGAACTTATATGGCCCAGTAAATCCGATTTGCAGGACCGATTCAACAAGAGTACAGCAAACAATTTGAATGTATGACAGAGCTTTTGCTACACATATTTCCGAGAACTACATGTACTGTCACCAAGTGGAAGGATAATAGTAGATATACTGCTTTCACTGTGCCTCGTCAGTCTCACCTGTACACTACTACATCAGTGTGTGATACACATGCATTCTTACTCTCCGCAGGTCACTGTCGGTCTGCTTCTAAAGACAGAGCAATCGACAGTCTTTGGCCAGGCAGTCTTATTACAAAACTGAATACGTCAACAGACACAGGTCAAAGAATGCCTGTCGTGCATCCTTTAACTAGATAACCATAACACGCATGCGCCGACTAGCTGCATCCTTTCCAGCTATAATTTACCGCAGACACATAATAGGCTATAAGATGACTGTCTCTCGTAGCTGAATACCACACGGAGCCATGGAGACAGGAAATCGAAATAAGAAAATCACAGTGCCTGTTCACTATCTATCACTGTTCTGTTGTTGCAGTAATTTAGAAACTACACCTGATTTTATTTTTTCAGGTAAGCCTTATATTTGCAATAATAATAATAATAATACAGGTAAAAAGGTGGGACCGTTTTTACCAGTATTTTGGCCAGCGTAAGAATGATTACGGTAATGATTGAGAAAATGAGTCATGACTGTAAATTAAAGGGAAAACAACTCTCCATCGTAAACAATTCATAGAAATGTAATCTATTTTATTTTATCATCAAAGCGGCGATTATCGCAATTATTCAGAAATCTGCACTTGTCATCGGACCACGTCACCAACTAGATGGCTACCCTCTCGAGTCTGTAATAATGTCTTGAGTTATTTTTCAAAAAACTAAATAAACTTAAAAAATAGGTACTTATTTTGATTGTCGGAACGGATTTATCACCTCCGCCAAGGAGGTTATGTTTTCACCCCTGTTTGTTTGTCCGTCTGTCATCAATATAACTCAAAAAGTTATGGACCGATTTTGATGAAATTTTCAGGAACTGTCAGAAGTGGGCCAAGGAAGAGATGATTAGTTTTTGGTGGTGATCCGGAATACAAAATCAATAATCAATAATAAAAAAAATTAAGTTATGGACCGATTTTGATGAAATTTTTTCATGAACTGTCAGAAGTGGGCCAAGGAACAGATGATAAGTTTTTGGTGGTGATCCGGATCAAAAATCAATCAATAATCAAAAATATCGAAAATTTAGGGGTGAAACGACATTGGATGGAGACCTTGCTGCCTTGGCGGAGGTCTGCGCTCTCTGAGTGCTTTTCTAGTTAACTAGTGGAACGTATGGGAAAATTGTCAAGTCGATATTTGAAGTTCGCAAAGATGACTTGCAAAAACGCTCGCAATGAAAAAGAAAGAAGAAAGCGTACAAAATACCAAGGCCTGCCGGTTATTACCACCACTGAATTACAAGTTTTATGCCCTGGAGTGCCTTACACCTTTAGCGTACTAAAAGCTGCAGGCAAATTACAGCAAATGAGTTTAGTTTAATTAACAGTAAATAGCCAGTAGCAAGACCCAAGACGACTAAAATAAACCAATAATGGAAATGAATCCATCTGATTGATGATTAATCCCTGCATGTTACATGTCAAGGGTTGCAATGCAGGGGGTAACAGCACGCGATTGTCATATTCTTAATGCAATTTTGTCCTAACATACTGTATATGCTGTCACTAAAGTGGGATATGGGGTAGAGCGGTAAGAAAAGATATACATATGAATCCTCGTGATAGGAATCTTCATCTGAACGAACTTTTCAGAGCTGACTTAACTTGATTTTTATCTTTTGATAAAAGAATTTAATCGTCAAATCGATTTCCCCTGAATAAATAATAATTGCCTACTACTCAAGAATCATTGGTCGATCTGTCCCTATATAGTTGTATTTGATGTTGTATATAATTTCAATTGAAATGATTTATTCTAAATGATCTGCACTCAGCATCAACGTGAGCGATAAAAAATGTTTGATTCCCTGTCACGATTCTTTGGTCTATCAGGCACTGATGATGATAGCAAAATAATACAAATTCTCAATCCACAGTGTCGTGCAAGTGCATCAGCATTGGCCAAGTATATACAGTCAGTTATGCCTAAGTAGCAAATGCATATTGTACAAAATACTATATCCAGTATTATTATATTGTGTCTTACTATTGTGAACTATATGTATGAAGTAGTTAGCTAATTATATGTATTTTGGTAATTGAATGATCTAAAGTAGTTATACTTATTTAAGCTTATGTGCACAATTTATGTAAAACTGTAGTTTAGAGAGCTTGTAAAATGTAACTGTACACATTTTAATGCTCAATAAATTATTATTATTATTATTATTATAAATGACGGTACATTTCCAATTGCGTCAGGTACTTTTACACGAGGGGGTTTATCATTTTAAGGTCTGGATGGGAAATGTAATTAGATTTCAGGACATGTTAAATATGATTTGGGAAAACTTTGAAACGCGCACAATATACTCTTTACCCCCCCCCCCCCCCCCAAAAAAAAAAAAAAAAAAACAATAATAATAAAAAATAAATAAATAAAAATAAAAAAATTGGGGCGTCAGTAGTATTCGGCTGTAAAAGGCCATTTAATACTAATTTAAGTTAAAGTTTCTATATCCCAAGCCTACATTCATCTGTAACTCTGCAGAGAATGATACCTATAACAAGAAGTGAGTGGGAATTCACACGGTAAAGACATTAATCGTATTCTTATACCAGTATAGGGGTTCACATGAATGACTTACATGGTACCCCCGGTTCTTTTCACTCTTTGGAAAAAAGTAACGAATAGGCCGTCTTAGTATTTGGCAAAAAGAAGACGCAACAAACATTTCCCTCGTGTAAACCTTTATTGATTGTTGTAACACTGTGTAAGCCAAACAATTGTGCACGTATGAATTTTTCCTTTGAAATGGTAGTTTTATTAAAATAGAATTCTTTTTATCAAAATAGAATTCTTGAGTTGTCCCATTGTCTTTACCTTATGGTAACAAAAAGGAAAAAAACACAAATTTAGAAATAAATTTTTCGTCAAAGCACCAAAAAATGAACCGAGAAAAGATATCGCCTATTGATATCAAGCATGTTACGAACATTCCTGCACCGGTAGGTTAGGCCTGTCCGTTATTTATTTGTTTGACAAGATCATCAAGTGTATTGTGTTCAGGCGACGCCGGGGACATCTTCTTGATACGCTCAAGTACAACGTCTCTTGACTGAATCTTCGCCGGTAGTCGATCAAGCTCGTTTTTGCTCCTTTCCGCGGGACCAGCACGCGTGTCGCCAATCACCTCTTTCGCTGGCTGCATATTTGCTGACATGACGTGTTTGTCATCCCTTTCAACTTCAACCCTCCCTTCCTCCATCTCCTGAAACTGGCCGCAGCCGGTCTTTCCAACCCAGCCCTCTACCGTAGCTCTCCTTAAGCTACAACGGTCCACTAGTTTGGCGATGACTTCACATATCGCTAACTGGATGCTGTACCAGTTACTTGGGGCTTGGGCCGCAGCATACGCACAAAGGGCTGTAAACCGGTTTGCCTCTGCCAGCCCACCCTGCGCCATCAGACAATCGGATAAGAGATTCCTAATAACGTCGGAACAAATGGACCATGGATTATTCTGCTGAAAGACGGGCTGATTTGAGAACGACCCCAAAGATCGTCCAGTGCCAGCGGTCCTTTTATCCACCGACGCTGTTGGACCAACGCCGTCGCCGAAACTCCATAGGCTACGCCGGGAAGCTTGGGTTGCACAACTGCAATGGAATGTGTCTCAAGGTTAAAAGACTGAATGTGTTATAACATATATATTAGTTTTACCTCTAATGAATAAACCACCTTGCAATGTAGACAATTTAACTCAGAGTAATACTGCAAGGTAAACATGCTGAACATCACAAAAATATATCAGGTTATACGGCATAATTCGTCATAGCAAAACCTTTTATTGTTATCATTAAACTTAAAATTGCAGTATTGTAAAACAAGGAAAAAGCTAGATAAAAATGTAACGAAAGTAGCTTTTTATTTATATCGAGTTATATCATGTCGGATGGCTACAGCATGTTTAAGTTATAATGAGAATATACTTCCATATAACTTTTTTCAAGTAACTAGCTCGTATATTACCTGGTATCGCACTCACTCAAACTAAATCTATATGCAATAGACCTACGATTGAGTCCTGACTCCATTAAAAGAAATGATACTTCAAATTGGTTTCCATATGCATATGACGCAGTAGCAAAGTTGAGAGAAGACAACACCAAGAATATTTTTCATATAAAAATAATTATTTAATGAGGCGGAGGATCACGCATGACCTGTCTCAGACCCAAAAATTAAGAGCAAATAGAAGTTTCCGTTATTTAAGATATTGTTTTTTAAGAAAAAATCTAAACGGCAACCATCACAGAAGTCGGAGAGCTTGTAAGATGGCCCAAGCTCCTCGGCAGTGTGGCGGGTTTTTAATTTAGCGTCTTCATGTTAAGAAACAGGAAATTCAGTTTGGCACCCCTAACATTTGAATATTCTTACGCATAGTCACCATGCAACAATATTCACACTGAAACTAAATGCCATAAATCTATCCTTTTCTCATAATACTCACCTTGCTTTTTCACCCTCGACATGTACCTGCCAGGATTCTCCAAACGCCTTATGTGCCGGCCAGGGGTCGCTCTCGTCCACGTGAAGCAGTTCCCCGCTTTGAAGCCTCAGTTCATCATTCGGGTCCCTGTTGAAATCACCACACAGACCACAAAGCATCCTCTGATATTCACTAGGGACATCAACGCTGATTCGGTGTTTCCCTGTGTTGTAGGCTCTGACTATAAGACCAAAGGCCGTAACGAGAGCTATGCGACCGTTTTGTTCAAGAAGTGTGAAGTGTCCTCGTCTATGGGGCACCGTCAAGTATACTCGAACACCGTCGACCTGAAAGATACAAAGTACCAGATCACTTCTGAATAGATACACAAACCACTCAGCATTTCCTAATGCCTTCCATTAAGTTTATTTTACACTTAAAAGGTAAAGGGAATTTGCCCTGAACCATTATTTACTGTGCTTGGGCCTGAGTCGTTTGAAAAAAAAAAGTGAGTGGGGACGGGGAGGGGGGAGGCGACTTAGTTCCCCTATCCCCGGGCTACTAAGCGATTACTATAGATTTTGATGCTGCTCTTCTTCTCTCTTTTTCTCTAAAATAAATAAAAATACAGTTTTTGATTTTTTGTACCCTCAATGATGAGTGTAATACACTTATATTGTTTAAATTCACTTAGATTTGGACACGAGTCTCGAATGCCAATCTGGAGAAATTAGATACACACACACACACTGTAAACACACACGCGTGGGCGCACGCGCATACACACAGAGAGAGAGAGAGAGAGAGAGAGAGAGGGAGAGAATGGCAGATCCAAACATGGAATGGAATATTTTTGTCCCTTGCCCCTGGGTTCCAATGGCCAGTGTGGATGTTTTTATGCGTGTGTGTGCACATGTGTGTTGGTGCGCGCACGCGAGCGTGTGATAATAAGTGGTAATATTCAATTTAGGAAAATGATTCAAAGCCACCAAATCCTCTGACTAAATATGAACTTACATCAGCATAGTCTACTCCTTGTAACGTATACATATCAACTGTAGTCTCTACACCGTTGATATTAAACGTCGTAGACACCTTTTTAGTGAACGTGACGTCATTGTTTGTAGTAGGATGGGCATTGGTCACCAGGACCTCAAATTGTGGGAGGTCATCCTGACTATAGTAACAGGTTCCCGTTAATAAATAAGTGCAGTCTCCATGAAATTTCAATGTGTATCCGTCGTAGGTTTGATATATTGGATCCCCACGTGCTGTGCAGCGACCCCAATCTGAAAAAAAAGAACGTGTTAGAAATACAGGGTTACTGCTTAATATTATGTACGAGAGCTCAGACCTCCGCCAAGGCGGCGATTTTTGATTATTATTGGTTATTGATTGATTATTGATCCGGATCACCACCAAAAACTATTCATCTGTTCATTGGCCCACTTCTGACAGTTCTCAAAAGTTGCATCAAAATCGGTCCATAACTTTTTGAGTTATGTTGATGACAGACAGACAGACAGACAGACAGACAAACAAACAAACAGGGGTGAAAACATAACCTCCTTGGTTATGTCACAGAGTATCATATGGAGCAGACATACTAGTAATACATGTAAAGGCAAAATCGTTGATAAATCAGGTCAAAATGATGACAAATTATATCTAAACAGAAATCTGCTACCAATAAAGATTATAGATGCAGTGAAGGTGTAACAACAAGATGCGGTAAAGATGTACTGTAACAGTTTAAGGATAGGTGTTAGGAATGTACATGGGCTTAGAAAAAAGATAAGGAACTTGTAAACAAATAAATATAATATAGGTTTAGCAGAATCTTAGAGCTCAGTAAATTTAAATCAACCATTACATTACCAGACAGTCAATATGCACACTTTCATCAAGTGAGAAACCGTAGGAAAAATGAAAAATATACCATCGGGATGTACTGTTCTGTTTTTGAAAAATGTGAAAAAAGACATTGCCATGTTCAAAAGTAATAATAAAGCCATTTTCTTTCAAAAAGATCAGTTTTCCCCTCAACTGAAAATTCGGACACTCAAAAAAATAATAAATAAATAAAAAAATAAGGGATCGACAGAAACGTATTATCTTTTATTTAAACTGTTACTTTAGACACATAAACAGAAGTATCCAAAAGATTAAATTAACCTTCCCCGTTGATAATAATACATCCATGTTTTAATAATTTTACTTGCTGTCAGAAATATCAAACGTAAAACACGCACATAAAATTTCCGCACACAACCCACGTTTTCACACGAAGCAGACGTTTTTGTGCAGTTCCCGCATCCACGTTACAGCAATATATTCATGACACATATTAGGCAACTTCCCGTAGATTGTTTCTAGAGTACGGTCAGTAATGAGATAGCTAGCGAACGAACTTGACGAGAGAACTTAGCGACTGATTAAGATAGAACGGTAGCTAGATCTACATGTTCAATCGTTCGTTTTATTTCAGTTTTTTAGTTTAAAGAGACACCCAAATACATTAAAATTTTGACAAAAAAAAAAAATTGATGGTCACCGACCAAATAGGTGAACTAGGTCCAAGTAGTTACCCATTAAGTATCAGACTTGTGCCAATTCAAATCAATGGGTAAATTGGTGTTGTTTTTTTTAATAAATCATTATTTTTATAATGTTCTAACGTACGAAATTTAAAAATTCGTATGAAGAAACATCCAAGTACATTAATAATTTTTTTAAAAATTGGAGGTTCCCGATCAAATAAGAGAATTTGAAGTGTACAACACCCTGCTTGACGCACTAATGCCCATTCAAATCAATGGGAAAAGGGGTGTTTTTTTTTTACTAAATTGTTCTTTTTTTCGTTATGTTCTTTCGAATTGGAAAATTCTATGAAGAAATATCAAAGTACATTAAAATTTGCAAAACAAAAAAATCAGAGGTTACGATCAGATAAGAAAACTAATCCAAGATGAACCGTTGTTGAACGCGTGATCGGCAAAATGAAAAGTTATATGTATTTCTGAACTCAACGACAAGTAAACTGGAAAATTTATGGGTCATGTTGGGGGGTGGGGGGCTATTGTTATTTAGAAAATGCAGAAAAGCCTTTCTGTAAGCTACACGTGCATAGTATATGTATGATAAAGACATAAAATGGATAATAAAAGTTATCTAACAATGTATTTGTAAAGTAATACAAATATGCTCAGTATTAAAGTACGGATTTTTTTTAACTGTCTTAAATACGTTGAAAAGTATGAAATGTATGGAAATTACGGGGAATTTCATGTTAGAAAGCAATACAAAAGTGACACCCAAAATCATGGCGAATCCGTATTGTTGTGCCATAGACAGTTATTTTACTTATTAGTAAACAACAAGAAAAATATTTGTAGATAAATTCTCTCAGCTTTTATTCGTTGCTGCACCGCACTCGCAAGTCTGTATCATTTCTGACCCCACTCTCCTCCAACTTTCATGAAATTTTGCTTGATTTCACGTTTATTGCAAGATTTTGGGCTATCTCTGATTCCCATTCAAAATATCTCATTTCACTTTTATACAAAAACGTTCTACTCTATTATCAGAATGATTCAAAGCTTAATAAAAATGAAGTGTTGATATCAGGAGACATTGCAAGGGAATGGTTGGAAAACGGAAATACATGACGTTTTGAAATTCTCTTTCCATGTCTTGATCGCCAATTACGAAACCTCCAAATCGAGACGGCGTGTCTAATTCTCGAAGGGGTGTTCGAAGAAGGCGTCCTCTCGTTCACTTAAATCTTATGCCAAGGCTCTTTCATACCACATATTAAATATAAATTGATGAAAACCATTGAACAGACCTCGTGGTGTGCATTTTACCCCTCACCAACCACAGGCAGTATACGTAACGCAAGAGCAAAGTTTTTCCTGCGTACTCGAGTCAATAACAAATTGTATCGTTTTATCACAATCAACATTACTAGTACCATTATTTTGTATATTACCATTTTCTCTTTCCTCTTCATCGTTCTCATCATTACGGCAGCCTGGTACCAAAGGCTGACTTCGACACCTAAAATGAAAAAAAAATACAGGTTTTAGAGATCTTAGGTCTCAGCAAACATCTAGCGTTTTACAACGCTACCTTAACGTTTCCATATTATTTTGGTTGTTATGGTAACTTTATAATAACATTCTGTGTTTGCTGGGTTCTTAGTAAGCAAGGAGAGTCACCTCTATGTTCTATGCAGTTCAGATGGCATTCTTGATTGCATCTCAGGTGCTTTTTATTTTTATCCAAATTTAATTTTGTGGAGTTTCCATCCCGTTTGAAAATTATTTGCCACCAATGTAGATACATTTTTTTCGTGGAAATATTTATTTACCACAGCGGTGGCAATTATTTCTTCGATGATAATAATAATTTATCACATCGGTAAGGTAACGTTTTCACACAGATTCAATGGAAACGCTCTGGTCACTATAAACCCGTACCAAAACTTTAAGTTGCAAGCTACAGTGTAATTTCTCATAGCCAAATTTGTCCATGTTCAATCTGCGGTTTAAAGTAGTAGCAAAATATTTTCAGATATTATTCAGTTAAAGCCTTTATAAATTTTACCAAAAGCCGAATCTAAGTGAAGAGAGGGATAGATAAATGATTCACGAGTGCGAGAAAATTGCTTATTTTCCCCGAGAAAACTTATTTTTGTGGGTAAACCCTATGGCGAGGTTCGTCGGGGTGTGAAAAATAGATTACTTTTGTCAACATGATTTCATGGCATTTTTATGTTTAAAATGATCAAATGTACTTCTTGCCTTCCAATAGGTTCAAGTTGAAGTGCTATATTTATGTGTAATGGTACGATTGGTTTGGAAGCATCTTAATGGGCCTAGGAGAGGTGCAATCATGAAATCACCCGGTCGTGTCTACTAGTCTATACGTAAGTATTTACGCGCTTCCCACTGAAGTTAACACAGAGTAGGGTTGTTCTGTCTTCGATGTAAGCAGCTACTATACTTACTCATCATCATCGTCCGGATCAGCGATTCTATGACTATTTCCCACCAGATTATTTTTATCTGAGTGATCTCCGACGAATGTTCCGTTTGCAGTGGTGAAATCATCAGCCATGTTCCCATTAAAGTTCCCACATAAGCCACAGAGTTTGTCCCGGTAGGCATTCGGAATTACCACGCCTACTCGGTGTTTGCCGCTATTTGTGGCGAAGACCATTAATCCTGTATCCGCCATAGTGAACCGCATACGCACATTTTCTGACGGCCCGTTTTTTATTTGAATGATAGTGAATAGTTCGGTTTGATAAGGAAGGAGCTCTCTTCTTCCGTCGACCTGTAAATCAAAGTGTAAGTAAGAATTTGGGTTTTCAATTTGTGAAAATAAATTTTTTTCCTGTAAGGCAATGTATTGTGACCTTAGATAACAAAGACAGAGGTGTAAATTTGCCAAATCTACCATTAGGTTTTCAAAGCTAAATAATCTGTAATACTTGCATATATATTTGCAAATCAGTTATCAGGATGAATTTAATTAATTTGTTAAAACAGTGCCCTCGGCTTCTAGCATTACATGTCCTGCCTTTCCTTCTGTCCTTGCCATGTAGTACATGTATGTACGCCCCAGTCACTGGCGTTTGCAGTGAGAATTCAAATTTCAAATTTTTATATTCCCAGTTGTGCGGAGGGGCGCAAACAGAAGGACTGTACTGCCCCTTGGGATTAGAACAGGAAATTATAATGAAACATTAATGATCAAGTACAATGATGCATTTTTCTTAGTTGCGCCTTATCAAAATCATAGATGTTATATACTGTTGAAATATTTCATCATTTTAGCAAGAGTGCAGAATAACAGATCTTTACCGTCACATCAGATTTTCCTTCGGTAGTGGACATATCAATGGTATGTCCGGCCACAGTTATTCTCACTGTCTTGGTGTAAGTCTTGATAGGTGAAAAGGAGGACTTGGTATTTTTCACCGCAATGTGGAACGGGAGCACGCCTTCTGGAAGTTCCGTACTGTTGGTAACTAAGGTATAGGTACACTCCCCTTGGAAATTAATAGAAGCCCCGTCACAGGTCTCATAGGTAGGATCGCCTCTTGCAAAGCATTGACAGTAACTTGAATTTATTTGACGTTTCTGATCTGAAAAAAGGGGTAAGATTCACGTATGAGAGCATTATATTTTAATAATGACACTGTTACAGCATGTAGACCAACATGGACCTTTAAAAGGATCATCTTCACGTGTTTTTTAAAATCTCAAGGCATGGGGGAAAATAAATGGCAGGAAATATTACTGAAACTGTTTATTACGCACTCTAGATACCTAATTCATTCACACAAAACATTGCACCTAAGTCATTTTATATCTAGATCATATGTTAAAACTGTGGGCAAGACGACAAATGACGACCTCTTGCCATTTAGGCCCCCGTGCTTCATCTCGCATACCGGTGTTGAAATTAAAGCAATGTTTATCCATAAGTAAAATTAAACGTTCCAAATGATTAGCTTCCTGTGCCTTTAATCTATATCTATTAACAAGATAAAGGCTAAATATGAAGAACTATGCAAAATTTTTGAAAATATTGCTTTTGTGATTGTAATAAATAATTTATTCCCTTAGACACTTGTATAAATAAAAATCAGACAGACCAATGGAGCTAATAATGACAGCAGTCTGTATGGAATACGTTAGGGGCAATATGAAATATAGACCAAAACTGCTCTGAAAATGCATTGGATACAGTGTTTTGAGTGGATATTGTGCGACAAGGAGGAAATGCCGAAAATACAAATATTAAATATTTTATAGGGCAATGGAAGTCTATTTCGTTTAAATTGTATGTTTTGAATAGCAAGGAAGTGAGAGAGAAAGAAAGAAATGGAATGTGTGTTGTGTGGAATTCCATTGAGAATATACTATATAATTATGCTTTTGTTAATCTAACACCTTCATCAAAATCAGAAAATGCAACATAAAGACACCGGCCAATTTAGAGTTGACATCGAGAACTGAAGATATAAACATCATAAAAAAAGAAGAAGAGGGAGAAAAAATATAATGACAGACATTCCATAAACTTTTCAACTGTCTAATAAAGCACCAATGACATCAAGATACATTCTACCGAATATCTGAAAAAAAAAAGAATACGGCAGTTCGAAAAAATAAACTTTCGCCCTACCTTCATGGACTTGTCTTACTACTGCTACATCGGATTGGTCAGCGCTGCTAGAGGCAATAAGTTGCAATTGCTTTGGGACTTCTTGTTCAATCGGGACGAATACCGGCACATGTTCTGGCACTGAAGGTGTTGTTGGCGGTTGAGACGTGGTCGTAAGCTTGGGTGTTATAGACCGACAGGTTTCTCGCCATAAACTCATTAGACCAACCTGCTGCATCGGGTCGGAAATGAAACGCGGACTTTTTGCGTTGGCAAAGTCATGAAATTCACGGTGTGTGACAATACATGTTTGCTGCTCATGGTCAAAGTTCATTCCAATGGGGCATTCTCTCTTGTCTAAGCCAAACTCACTACAGAACCAATAATCACATGCCGTCTCGGCGTCGGGTGTCACTTCATTCAGAGGAGAACAAGGCACTAAAACGAAAATTGAACAAAACGTAAAATGACAGGTTTTTTAAGTTCAATCATTCACAAAATGTAACAAATACCTTCTGATATTCAAATTTTTTAAGGGGAAATCGGCATGCTAACAACACAAAACAAAACAACCCTGTTACTTGGCTACTCGGCGTTTAAAAACAACGGCCTCTTTTTATCTTATTTTTATCGCACTGAGAGGTCACCCTCTCAGTCCTTTAGACGAATCATTGGGGAATAAACTTTTTTCATACCTCAAAGATATAATTATATAGTTAAAGGGGTTAAACTCCAAAGACGGAAGTCGGCTGAGTAGATTGACAATCTGACATTGTCTCTTTTACACACACGAAACTTAAATCTTAGTTTTCTATGGGACCATTCAGAATGAGAACGGCCGAGTGCTAGCTGGTCCACGGCCTAAATATGGCGCACCTACATGAAGACCGCTTAATCCTGTAATGGCCTCTTCGCCTCTTTCACGCCTCCCTACGCGTCGTCCCTCGACCGGTCTAATTGAGCCGAGATTTAATTACTGTGCCCCTGCAGGGACGACGCGTGGGGAGACGTATTTAAATTTTACAGCGTAATCTATCATGTCATGTTTAACCTTTATAATTGGTTTCATTTTTCTTGGGGTTGATTAAGGTGGACTGATTAAGTATTTGAGAGGGTCGAGGCAGCATAATATTAATACAGGCTACTATGTAAGTAAACCACACGAAATGGCGGTAATGGACATGGGCTGAAGAAGTCTTAGATACGGAACTGAAGCATACCTTGACCTGGTGCCCGGAACATTCTCGTTCAACACTTTCTTACGGTCGAACAAGTTAATAGGCAAAAAGCATTTCGATTCATTCTTAAACATGTTGTTTTAGTTGATCACCGTAGACTGTTAGCTCGGTGACCAAGGTGACCTGTTGTAGTTTCCTTGTCCTATCGTTTTTTTAATGACCATTACCATCAAGTATTAAGTGGTTCACCATGATATGCTTTAGTGCCCTAACATAGGAACGTCAAATATGAGTCTACTGCAAGAATGTTTAAAAAGGCGCAGTCACCATTTATATCATAAGGTCGACCAGTAAAATAACCTGGAGTGATATTACTGGTAGCAAATTATTCTGTAAACACCAGTTGTCCTGTGAACCTTGAGAAGTCTGACAGTTTCTGTTTCGATTAGGCCTGCTTCTAGTATATAAACGGTCATGTAGTGTTTCTTACCTGTGTCAATGGATGGGGATTGATTTTTACAACAGTTTGTGGTATGTTATCGAAGTGTTTGCATTTATACGGCTTTTGTGGATAGATTATTTTCTGAATTGATATATTCATTGAAATAATATAATTTCCCAACAAACAGTTTACAAAAACCTATTCTTAACGGTTTTGCAAGTTAAAAACGTCTTTATAATTAGTGACCTGATGTCGCCTAAATCATTGCTCGACCCTTTCTTGTTTATTTTCAAAAACGCAACCCTCCTACGCCACCTACGAGTGAATGGATCTTATTCTGCGTCAATTTAAGGCGCAAGGAAAAGCACACCAAATCACGTATTTTTCCTTTACCGCAAGGGAGCAAGCGAACGATACGAATCTAAGAAAAACAGCTCTACATAGCTGCAGAATCTATACTCTGAATTTAAATTATTCATGATATGTGAGAGTGTTAATCATTTAGCTTATACCAGCATTGACAACGCAGCCTTGTGTTTACGCATTTGATGTAATATATATGTATATATGGCAATGATCATCAATGTACAGCCTCTCCTGTTTGCTGTATTTATGGAATATTTATATTGAAGATGTCACAGATTAAAATGAATATTTGTCCAGAGGATTTTGTTCTCGAGAAATAATTGGTATTAGTAATTGATAGTCGGAAATCAACGAAATACAAAACTTTTGAACAGATAAAATCTTAGGGACCATTCCCACAGATATTTGGATTGATCTATCTCCCTGTGGAGTCTCTCTAAAATGCTGTCAACGTAA